CTTTGATTTGTCCTATTAGCCTCTTCTAGCTGAAATCCTACTTTAGGGTGGTTTCCTAGATTTTCTATGGGCTGACTAGGTAGTTGTCATTTTTCTATCTTATTCACAAGAGCCTCTTTAAATTATTTCTACTACAACATCATTTGATTTATTATTTTGTGTATTATATTCATAGCTTCATGCTGAGTTTGAGAAGTTTTCTTATTTGGGATAAAATTTAAAATTTGAATTGGGTCTAAGTGAGCTATGAATTTTGAATATTATTTTGGTCTCTCCAAAAAAAAAATTCCTACAATTAGGATTATAAGAATTAGAAAAAAAATCTTATTTTTATTAAAATCATGAGTTACTTACGCTTGCTCTTGCCTAGATTGAAATGATTAATCTAATATAAGGTATTGAAATTCAAAATTTTCATTTTCACCACTTATAGAATAGTTATTATTTAAATTAAATTGAGGGTTAGGAGGCTTTATAATATTTTTAATAATTAAATTAAGTTTTTTTAATCTGTTATTCATTTGATTCACCTCCTTTCTTAATTTAGAATCATTTTGATGATACAATTCATAAATTCTTCTCTTCTTATCCCTATCCTATAACTTAAAAGAGGTTTGATCTTTTGAACTTTTACTCATAAAAAGTATAAATCTCATCAAAACTCTTCTCTTAAAAAGCTACTCCAGATATAAAAACAATCATATTTCTATGTTATTTTAATAATTTATTATAAAAAATTATATTGAGCTACCATTTTGATATAACATGATGATGACACTTTTTAAGTAAATCTTTGAATTTTTCTCATGTCTTATGCAAAGTTTCTCTTGGCCGTTGAACAAAACTCCACATATGTTTTCTCATATTTTGAGTTTACTTAAGAGAGAAAAATTTCAAAGAAAATCATGTTCTGTGTCTTTTCAACTAATTAATTTTCTATCTAATGTGGATAGCCAAAAATTAACATTGTTTCTAAATCTATGTGGAAATAACTTGATCTTAAGAATTTATTATTTAACTTGAGGGGGACTAATTAAATCACAAGTCATGTAAAAAAAATTAAATGTTGATGAGGTTCTTCTAAAGTAATCCATAAAAATTAGGAAGTATTTGAAAATTATCTTGATTTATTTTGAATTTAACCTTAGGTACTAATGGAACTCTAATATTATATGGTCATTGGTCTGAATCAAGAATGATCTTTCATGGTCATAGAATTGCTCACACTTTGACTTGTACTACCTCTAAGATCCATCAAAAATGATTTTTCTTTCTATTTTTTTGGACAAAGTAGTGAAAGGGTATTTTTGCCTTGAATATAATGATCTTCTACCATGCATAAAAGTCTATAAATTTGAGGCAAAATTTTAATAAATGTTACCTTCCATCAATTTAATTCAGTCTTTGCCTTGCTACTCTTTGTTCCTTTTTTTTAATCGACAAGAAGAAAACAGACCAAAAAATTTGAATTTATGTACTCTAATAAAAAAATAGAAAAATATTAAATATTATGTAATACATTTTTGAAAACAACAATAAAATTTGATGTGACTTAATCATTGTATAATAAATTACATAAATTTAAAATTTATAAAACTAAAGAATACTAATTTTTGAATTTTTAGATGTATTTAAGCATATAATTTTTTTTATATAAAAAGCTCTAAAAATAGAAGAAAACTTTCAAGTCAATCATAAAGATGTAAACTAATATCAGGTAATATTTTAAAAAATCAAATAATATAATTTTTTATGATATTTAGACTAAATAATGAAGAGAGTTTTATTCAAAAATTCCCAAAAAAAGAAATTTAGGTGTGGACATCATAACAATGTCAAGCTTCCAATGAATGCAATTCAAGTAGAAACACAATCCCACCTGATGATTATTATACAAATGATTAAAGATGATTTAGTTGATCAAATTAAGATCTATAAAAGCCAAAAGAATTATAATTGATTAAAAAATAGTTTCAAAATTTAAAATCACACAAAAATTTATTAAATTAAAGAAAAAATAAGTTTAAAATAAGAAAGATAGAGTTTCAGCATCATGACGATGATCATTGGGATTCTAAGCATTCAGCCCAAAGGTTCTTATTGGGCATCCACGATTTGGACAATCTCAATAATCCTATTGTGAAGTCCAAAAATTGATGAAATGGGTCAATGAATTATCTCTATGAGCTATCACCCAGCTTAGTAGAAATTCAGTGGCTTTCAAATCTCTAGCAACTAGACCTAAGAAAGATGAGCTCAATTAAGGTGATGTGCATCTCATTAAACTACTTTCTCAAGTTTGTACATCAAGAGGAGGCTCATATCACATTTGGTTCACTCTAGAGAAGCGACAACTCGCCTCCCAACAAGTTATTTTCTTCTCGACAACTATTCATTATCAATCAATCGTAGATGATTTCCTCAAAGAATTCATGATTTTTGTATTGAAAATCTTTGGTCAGCTGCTAGGAATGATCCACGAATAATATTAACAAGATTTTCATCGATGGGCAAACAATTATATTGACTTAACCTTTTACTAGTGTTTTATAGAAAAATAAGGAGTTAAACAAACAAAAGACATGAAATTTGACTCTAGTTGACTTCAAACCTTCACCTGTCACTTGTCTACATGAGAGAGAACTAAAAAATTACATGCATACCCTTGACTAGTGACATCATGGAGGTGTTTTTTTCTTAGAAAATAGGGGCATTTTAGGTATAAAAATATGTGAAACTCATTGGTGACTACTAACATAAGTTTAGTCCTGATGTTTGAGACACATATAAGTCTCTGCCTTCTCTTGTCTTGAATGTACTCTCTCTCAAAAATACATGTATGACCACTCCTTACATCATGCTTGGCTGGCCCCTAGTGACATAGAAGGAGAGTAACACATATGTGCCCTAACCAATCTTTAGCCACTAGACCCCTCAACTTATGCTTCCCTCGATTATGCCTCTGACCCGCATGTGAGCATAACTAGCTAACAAGTCTCACCCTTTTTTCTATTTTTTATTTTTTTATATTTTTTAATTTTAACTCAAAAATATGATTATAAAATATAAAATCATATAATTACTAAAATTATACATTATCAACTTTTTTTTCTTAATTTAATATAAATATAAGTCTATGTATCATGATTTAAGGTGTAAAATATATTATTAATTAATTATTAACTCATGATAATAAGTACTTATTACTACCACATGAATCATTCATGATTGCAATTTCACAATGACGAGATCTCCAAAAATAGCGAGCTAGAGCCCTATAAAAGGTAGCCTTTGAGAAAAAACATCAATAATGGCTTGTCTATAAGTTAGAATATGAGAGTATATGCAAGAGATTTTTGATAGCTTTCCCATTTCTAGTTTCATATTAAGAAGCCAGAATAGGGGTGGGTCTCTATTTGACAATCGTGAGGTGGGTCAGTTGACTAGCAAGCTGGTTCATAGGCCAATGATGCACCCAACAAATGTGGAAATATTGATAACTATAAGATCTTTGTCACTTGTTCACAAGCTTACTTGGAGGTCATGTTAGCATGTCTATGTTTAGTCTCATATTTAAATGTTGTAAATGTGCTGCATGTGCATTGGTTTGGCATCATGTGAAGAGACTGTGGGCAATAGGTTTTGGAAAATCCTGGTGGGGAAATTCTATGCAGAATTGGTCAAGGATTGGCTGATGAAACCACCATGAATTCTTGTACCTTAAGGGTTAATATTTTTCCTCAAAGGTTTTATCTTAGAACTTGTACCTGATTATTATACTTAAGGGTTAATATTTTTCCTCCAAGGTTTTACCTTAGATCTAAATAGGACATTTTTCATTATGCCTTTCATGCAAAATATTCATACTAGTATAATAGTTAGGGATTTGTAATCAACATATGAATTGTCGATTGGAAAAAATAAGTGAAAGCAAAAATGTTTGAATTAGAAAATTCAGGTGTGGCCCTTACAAGTTGTTAATAAAATCATTAAACAAAAAAAAAATGTGTTATGTCATTTAGAAAAATTCAACAAAAGGCTGAAGTCCAGAGCTCAAGCAAAGGTATACCCTTCAAGTTATTGAAATAGAAAGATAGTAAGAACACGTCTTATAGATTGTGGGCTTAATAACCTAATGAACATCATAGGTGACATGTACTATTGTTTAAATAACTATCAATGACCAAATTACTTGTCAAATTTTTAGTAACCCTTTAATTATTTTTGTACTTGATACGTATAGTTGACTAAGCTAATTCACTAAAATTTAAATTAGCATACTAATAATCTTTCAAAAAATGATAGGCTACATTAACAAAGACTTTCAAAGTTGGTTTTGTTCTGAAATAATGGAAATGGCTAATAGTTATCTGCCACGACATGGTAATGCTATGGTTTGATTCAAAATGGATGTTTTTAATTTTATAATTTCATTTATCTCCATGTATAAAAGGGTATGTCATATGGCGCAATCAGAATAGATCTACGAAGGATGAATTCATAAAGTAAATAAATGTTTGAATTAAATACAGGGTACACCTCACTATACGTGCAAGATAATTTATAATCCATAGGCAACTCGCAAGCATACACCAAATATAACTCTCCGCAGTATAGGGCCCACTCGTCAACGCAGCCTGGCTTGCAAGATGGCACTCTGGACCCAATACTTCCACTGGGAGAATGCAGATTAAATGCCCCCCTTCAGGCATTTTGATTCTCTCCAAGTTTCTATTTTTGGCATTTTCGACTTCGTAATCTGCAAATATCTTTTCTTTTTTTGCATTTAAGTATTTTTTGTTCCGGAGAAGGTCATCCTCTAGCCCTGTTTTCCCTACCCATCTGGAAATCTTCCGGCTCATTTCCTCTCGTTGTCCTGTTATAGAGCCTCAGCCAACCCGTTGATCAATCCATTCCCAAGAAAGCGGATTGGGGTCTCGATCCCTTTCCTCAGCCCCCTCTTCCTCCCGGTGGCGAATCTGAGCGTAGTCAAGACGCAGATGGGGTCTCGATCGAAGGAAGCGGAGGGTGATGCCGGCGCGGCGGAGGGAGGGGCGGTGGAGCCACCGGGGAGAAGGTTTCGATACAATTCTCCCCTGGCCCAGGTCGTTCTGATAGGGCTCGTCTGCTTCTGCTGCCCCGGCATGTTCAACGCCCTCTCCGGGATGGGCGGCGGAGGCCAGGTCGACCACGATGCCGCCAACGACGCCAACACCGCGCTCTACACCACATTTGCCGTCTTCGGCGTCCTCGGCGGCGGCGTATACAACCTCTTCGGCCCCCGGCTCACCCTCTTCGCCGGCTGCTCCACCTACGTCCTCTACGCCGGCTCGTTCCTGTACTACAATCACCGCCACGACCAGAACTTCGCCGTCGTCGCCGGGGCGGTGCTCGGCGTCGGCGCCGGCCTCCTCTGGGCGGGGCAGGGCGCCATCATGACCTCCTACCCGCCGCCCAGCCGCAAGGGCTCTTACATCGCCGTCTTCTGGAGCATCTTCAACATGGGGGGGGTCATCGGTGGTCTCATCCCCTTCGTACTCAACTACCGTCGCACCGCCGCCGCCTCGGTCAACGACGGCACCTACATCACCTTCATGTGCTTCATGTCCACGGGAGCCCTGCTCACCTTCGCCGTGCTACCCGCCAGCCGCGTCGTCCGCGACGACGGCAGCCGCGCCTCCGCCGTCCGGTACTCCAACGTGTCCACCGAGGCCGTGGAGATCACCAAACTGTTCACCGACTGGCGAATGCTGCTGATCGCGCCGGCGGCTTGGGCCAGCAACTTCTTCTATACCTACCAGTTCAACAACGTCAACGGGCTGCTATTCAACCTGCGCACCTCCGGCCTGAACAACGTCTTCTACTGGGGGGCGCAGATGGTGGGCTCTGCGGGCATCGGCTGGGTGCTCGACTACGGCTGCCACAGCCGCCGCCACCGGGGCTTCCTGGGCATCGCCGCGGTGGCGGCGCTGGGCACCGCCTCGTGGGGCGGCGGCCTCGCCAACCAGCTGAGGTATCCCGACGGGAAGTGGGAACAGAAGCTCGACTTCAAGGACTCCGGCGAGGCCTACGCGGGGCCCTTCCTGCTCTACTTCAGCTACGGCCTCCTGGACGCCGCCTTCCAGAGCCTGGTCTACTGGCTCATCGGTGCCCTGGCCGACGACTCCCGCGCGCTCAGCCGATATAGCGGCTTCTATAAAGGGGTGCAGAGCGCCGGGGCGGCGGTCGCCTGGCAGGTCGACAAGCGCCGGACGCCGCTGCTCGCGCAGCTCGCCGTGAACTGGGCCCTCACCACCGTGAGCTTCCCGCTCATGGCGCTCCTGGTGGCCCTCGCCGTAGAGGACGAAGTGGCCCCCCCGGACTCCGGCGACTCGGAGAGCGCCGCTCCACCCGTCGCCCATCGATCCGAGTCCCCTCCTCCCAAGCCGGCGCCCCGTTCGGCAGATTAACCGGGTGGGGGGAGGGGGGGTTCACCGCGACGATCGATCGATCGATCTTTCATCGTCATTGTTCCTGCTAGATCTCGGAATCAAAACTGTTTTTTAATACCCGCGTGGGCTTGTGATTCGACCTCCACGGCCACCCAGACAGAGAGAGAGAGAGAGAGAGAGAGAGAGAGAGATCTCCTTCAGCGCAACCGCCAGCCAGACAGAAAAGGTGTTAGTTTGGCTTGCCACCGGGAAAAAAGCCCGGCCACCCAGCTCGTGTCTGAGCTTTCCGCCCAGTCGTCGTGCCGCGCACCCCCCCCCCCCCCTCCCCAAACCTTCGAGGATGAGATGAGGGTCACCCTAGAACTCAGGAATTCATGGACGACTGAGCAATGAGTGGATCACATTTAATTCTTCTCAGATCGAAGGGCAACGCTAGCTCGTCATCGCCATCTCCGCGAACTATGGAGACCGGAAGAAGAGAACATAGGAGATGGATTGGGAGGAGGGTGACCGACAGAACAGAAACGTATTCCAGTGGATGCAGCAAGCAAATAGGTCGATCGAAAGTCAGAAGGTTTCTGCCCTTTCGAGGGCCACCGGCACCAGCGCCGCAGCGCCGCCGGGGGCAGCGCCCTTCCGCGGCTGCGGCGGGAGGGAGGAGAGCCGCTTCATGAGGGACTGTATCTGGAGGAGGTACTCCCTGGCCTGCGCCAGAGCCTCGGCCTCCACCTCACCCAGCTGCGCACAAAGCCGCTCCTCGGCCTCCTCGGACATCCGCAGGCGCTCGCGCGCCACCGCCAGCTCCCTCCGCGCCGCCTCCTCCCTCTCCCGGCTTCGCAGCAGCTCCGCCTCCAGAGCCTCGTTCTTCTTCCTCATCCTCTCCATCTCCGCCTCCCTCTTCCTCTCCTCAGCGTCAAACGCGGCCTCGTTCACCGCTCCCCCCTGCGCCTGGAGCTGGCGGGACGCCCTGGCCGACAGGCGTCCTATAAATCGTGGGGGTGCACCCACCAAACCGTCAACACCAGAATCGCGAGGGGCAACGGAAAACGAATTCCACGCATTGTCTTCTAAAAGAACCAATAATGGGCGTGTTTCAGCGCCACCAATCTGCACCAATTGTGTCGTTGTTCGTTTGGAGTGCAGAAAGGACGGGAATGAAGTGGGGAGAGAGAGAGGGAGCGAGACCGCTACGTTGACTTTTACCCATTTGTTCTAATGTAATCTTCTATAAATGTCTTAAAAAAAATAAAATCTCATTTAAATATTTTCATCCCCACTTCTCAGAGGAGCACCGGGGTCAAAATTATTTTTACAATGGAGATCACCTTTGTGAGTCTCACGCAAGTATAAATTTATCTCATTGCATAGTTACGAATCCATGTGGTCAACCTCATTTGAGAGTTCATGCGGTTGACCTTTGTAGAAGGTCAAGGAGATTTACCTATTTGAATTTCATGAGCTTAAGCTTATTTCCAAGCATATGGTATAAATATAATGACAACCTTTCCTGAGATGAAATGAATTCAATAGTCCATTGGAAAAAAGCTTGATTCTATTACTTTATAGAATGAGCCACTTTATAGCATGTTTTCATTAATGGAGGCCATTAGGTGCTAGACTCCCATGTGAGCCACATAAGGACTTCACGTGGGGCCTTTCGATATAATGCATGCTCATTGGGAATAAGGTGGGCATTAGATCGTATAGGATGCTTATTATGAGCAGATTATTACCGTGGTAGTTCCCTAAAACATTACGTTCATTTAAGGTCATATGAGCCCCAATGCTATTGTGTTGGATCACTACGCAAACTATCTAATTACAAAGCATGATGCCCGTAAATAACATCAAACGAAACATTGGACGGAAGCCTTTCATATGAAGAGGCTGAGATAACATTACAAGTGATGCTAATGAAATCAACCAGAGATAAAAATTAAGGGGAGATGAAATTGCATACCAGATTGTACTACTTTATTTCGTCGTGTTTCCTGCTCTTGATTAAGTGTGCGAATCTCACTCCAAAAGGTCCCCTTATGATCAGAAAGATATAATGTGCTATGATTGCAAAAAGACCACCTGTTTATCATGGATATCCCTCTTGTCCATCATATTCGCATGACAACAATTTTCATCCCCCAAAAGTTTCCTTCCAAAGCTGTAGAAGAAATATAGAACATGATAATCGTACATATTTCGATTAAAGAAACTCATGGAACAAAGTTTTCTACAAGGGGAAATAGAAAAACTTTGATATATGAGTTGCTTTAATCGAGATTTGTATGAATTTCATGTTCTATTGTTCTTCTACAGCTTTGTCGGGTACATCGGCAATGATAGCCCGATCTGACTCCTCATCATTAAGTGACACTGAAACGTGAAATGGAAGAAATTCCATACCCGGTAACCCAAATGAAGATGTCAATCAAAGTAGGTAGTAATCTAAGGTGTTCATGAATGGATGGATGTAAGAAATTTGAGGCAACGACCTGGGAAGATCATCAAACACATAGCTGATCATACATACACAGCTATTTAACAACACACACAACAGTCAGCGATAAATATTTACAATGAACAGTGTCCACAAACACACACATGTCGACTTTCTTACACTAGAAGGCCTTATAACCCTAATCAGCACAATTAGAAGTAAGTTGACCTGATTTATGATGGCGGATGCGGGTACTAAGTCTATAACATTGACCATGATCAGCCGTTGGGACACTGGAGTCGGCAAGTCAGTTGCTCTGGTTGGCGATAAGCCCAGACTCAAATCTTCTAGTAAGGATGCCCATGCACAGACTGCCTCAGGCGCTTTGCAGCATGTAAAAAGTCTGCTATGACCTGGGACTCGTCCAAATTCTTCACAAAAACCAAATCATGGAATCAGAGTTCTGGGAAAGAATGATGAGAACCAAAGTACATAACAAATCTCTCTCTCTCTCTCTCTCTCTCTCTCTCTCTCTCTCTCTCCATCTCTCTCCCTCGCTTCCATTGATATATATATATATATATATATAGATAATGAAAGAATACTGATGAAACTCCGGAAACAACTCTAGTATGATGTGCATAAATCAAAGAATGATGTCAACTGAAAACATAGGTAAGAGTCTCTGTGTGTGTGTGTGTGTGTGTGCGTGTGAAAGATTCAATTCATCCAACTCAAATATGACTGGCAACGAGTAAAGTAGAACCATGTCCTTCAACCATAGATTTGATCTCCTCCCATCCATATGGGACTACATAAGTGTGTATATCTCTATTGAGTTTTACCATGATAAGCAGGATCACAGACACAATGGAGAAAAACAAAGTTTAAGAAAAGGGTTGGTTGGCTACCTGAGAAATAAAATGTCGTTCAACAGCTTCAATCAGCTGTGCCTTGGAGGAGGGCACGTTCTTCCCGTCCTAGTAGGAGGTAAGAATAAAAGCAACTCAGAATAGCAAGCCTGTAGATGAAGTTCGGAGAACAATAGAATGGCAGGAGCAATGACAAACTTGAACGCCCCCTGAATTTCGATTTCCGTTATTGAATTCATCTCCTTGTTTTTATTAAAATTGTTAAGATGTTAACATCCGACTGGTAGAATATAGGAGATTAAACTTACAAGCTTAAAATGCCTCCAATATCTCCATAAAGAGACTGCTCCCAATTTCCCTATATCCACAGTCTGCAGCATATTTGAGCAGATAGATTAATGAAGGCACAGTCTCACCAGTATTTTATAAGATGAGAGGTTGAAGACATAGGAAGGCAGAATACCAGCTTCTGTTGAGGTCGTGTGGTAAATTGCAAATGGGAAGAACCAGACAGAAGGCTCTTGCAATGATCTTCCTGCTCCCTAGTTGGGGCCTCAATGACGCTGAGTGCATTTCTCTGAAGCTTCACCTCAACACCATTCGTTAAGACCTTGGGAGTTCAGGGAAAAAGTAGCCATTAAAGTCTAACCCAGGAAACTTTGACGAGAAACTATGGCTGTTCTATACAGAAAGAAGATGAATTACCAGCCAATGCCAGCCACCGAGCCCCACAGATTTCTTCACAACCCCCTGCAAGCCAACGAGCACAGATCTCGTCCTGTTGTTTCCAGTGACTACGACTTTAGTGTGAGGAGGGAGCACCGCGAGCTCTCCTTCACCATAGTCCAGAGCAAATGTCGGGGATGACATGAACCGCTGGGGATACACCGCAGGCCGTATCATTCTGTATTTCATCTATCCTTATCGAGGATGAAATCAAATCCTAGGCCCGATGAACGGTGGATTCACATTTCAGACTTTCAGGAATAATTCTGCGGAAGAGACGACATGATTCGGCGGCTGCATTAGACAAAGATCAAACCCTAAATCAGGCTGGAACTCCTCCATTCCATAATCCTAACAGATTCAAATTAAAAGCATTCAGTAACAACTCAATTATATTATCATTTAAGCAGATCACGAGGATAGACTAACGGAAACCAACCCGTACGGAGAGACCGAACCGATCAATGCAAGTTCATCCTCACAACACCACAATGTTGAAAAGATTGTTGAAATTAGAACGCCCAAAAGACCGAGGCACAATGTGATGCCCTAGCCCGTAAAACGATCGAGGCAACCAAAGTTCACAAGAAAAGTTGCATGCAGTCATTAACACGAATAGAAACGCACTCGGTTCATCCACCAACGCAATCCCGATCACTGAATTACTTGCGTCACGGGCGATCTTGAATTGCTAGTATCCAAGTTTCTCCGATCACCCTGCCAAAAAAGGAAACGAAAAACAAAAAATTAAGAAGCCTCAGCAACACAATGGAACCGATGCAGTCCACCAAACGGGGCATTGCCCCATTCCAGAGCTAAAAACAAGTCCCATGAGATTCCCAACCAGAATGAACTCAGATCCGTGGAGAGACGAATCAATGTGGGCCAAGAGACCGGCAATTGGGCGTCCAATAAATCCAAAATCCAAATTGGAGAACTAGGCTACCCAGAAATGGCAGACGGACGAGGCACGGAGCGTCTGATCGTGGTCTGCAGTAGGGCGCGACCTCGAAGAGGGGAGCGGAGCTGAGAGCGACGAGAGCAGAGAGAACTGAGCGAGTGCAGCAGCAGCGGCAGCAGAATCAGCAGCAGGGAGAGAGGGAGAGAGAGAGAGAGGACAGCCAAAAAAGCGGGCAAAGTCCGTACGACTACGCCGGTTCGCCGCGATCTCACGAGAGCCGTCGGATCGGAGCCAAAATCGGTCGCCCTCCAGGGAGAAACTCCCGAGCCGGGGCAGGTTACCATGCATTGCGGGAGACATCGAAGAAGTGGGGCCCACGGCATTTGTTTCGGGCCTCCACAATCACGTGACAGTAACAACAACGGTAAATGTAAAGAACTGCCCTTAAAGGATGAGGATACTAAATGTAACGTATTTATTTCACATGAATTCACAAGTTTCTTTTTTAACTCTCATTTATTTCTTCGAAGAAAAATATGGATCCTAATTACATGAAAACCTAGACAAATTTTAGTAGATTATTTAGTGCATTAAGATCTGTTATTTTTTGTAACCATAGTAAGAAAGGGGGCTTTTGGGGCTAATGGCCCTACTATTATTACTGAAATAATAATATATTACTGGTTGGTAATATGTATTGCTAGCTAGTGTTATCTCATCCTAAAAAGCTTGAATTATTGGCAAGCTCTTCATCTTTTTCCTTGGACTTGCAACTCTCCATAAAATGGCCAAGTATTTACATTAGCCCCCCAATTAAGGTTTTCATTAGCTATATGGAGGATATTGATTGAGTTCATACACTACTTAGTAACATAGTATTATCTTATTAGTAAAGACAATAACATCCCCTTATGATTAAAATGAGTCAAATTACTTTCTAGGATATGTTTTAAGGGATGCAATATATTTTGGCAGCATAGATATTACCCAATAAAAATTCATAATAAAAGATATTTGCCTTGATAATCCTCCCAGCTATCGCAAGCTAATTATGAATTTTCAGTATGCTTATTCTAGAATCTCCAGGTCATGGTGTCTAGAGTAAGTTCTTCTAGGTAGGTTCCATTTTTGTGAGTTTTATCTTGTTGAAACAAAAATGATAACTAGTCATTTCAAATAATACATGTATCATCATAACATGAAGTAAATAACCTCTCTTTTTTTTTAACAATAGTTTCTTAGAAACATATATAAATTAATCATTCTAAAATAATACATATGTTGACAAGATGATGCAATCATCATTTTATACCGTCTCTAATATGGCATTCACTTTAAAATATTATGAAAATCTTACTTTCCAAATAGTGCGCTAAGTTTATCCTTCAAATTTTCAACCCATAAATAGTAATGCATGTCAAAAACCTTCTCAGTTTGGTCCAACTAAGCTGTCAACTCAATTGGTAAAGGTTCTTACAGCTGTGATTATTCCTTGATACCTACATTGACAATTAGACTGAACGATTAACATGATGATTTAGTATGTTAAAGAATAATTATAATAAATATATTCACATATTCACATAAGATTTGGATCGCCATCTCCCTTCTGGGAGGGAGCTCACAATGCCTTGGACCAAATCTACCAGCTTAGAGAGAGCTTATGGTGGCTGAAGAGCACAGAAAATAAGGCAATACAGTCCCTTATCTCTCCATGTAGAGGAAGCCCACAATGTCCCAAGAGGGCTACACACAGGATAATCTAGATTAACCTTGAGAGAGAGTGGGCATTAGGAGAGAGAGAGGGGTAGTATGGTATTTTCACTCTACGATCAAAACCTAACCCAACATTTTGGTATGTTGGTAGTTATAAAGAAAATTACTATCCTCTTGGTAGTTAAAAATCCGAAATTACATAATTAAAGGCGTTGACTTTTGAAACGCATTTCACGGCTAGAAAGACAAGTCTTGGTCTTCATTGGCGTTTCTGAGGCCAATTTTTTTCCAGGTCATTAAACTCTAAGACCGGACACCTTCCTAGAATGGAACACATTTCCTTTTCAAAGCTTTGATCTGCTTCTTCAATCTTCCGAACATAAATATTCATCATGATTTAATATGAGATCATATCGCCCAGCAAGTGTCATGAGGGATCACCTTCCATGCCCTCTTCTTTCAGTAAAGACCTTAACAGCGCATCCAGCTAGCGCTGACAGAGAGAGAGAGAGAGAGATCCGAAGGTCCAAGGTCCATATGAAGAAGCATTACCAGTTAGCGATGAATGGATGAATGGTTATGTGAGAAGAATCCCATTGGGCAAAAGAATAGTATGCAAATCTTAGAGCGAGCGAGCGAGCGAGAGAGAGAGACATGACTCCATAAGGTTAAGATGCCTCCCCCATCCTTTTTTCCCAACGGGGGTTCATGCAATATGGTCCTCAGTCTCCAAACCCTGGAGACGTGGGGGTAAACCAGTGTTTCGGTCCGGGCCGCGATTAGCGGTACCAAATCGATTACTCACCAACGGCTTGGTAATTTTTTTTATGGAGTCAAGAATCCAACTAAAAAAGGTGAAGGGTTTATGTATAATCCAAGCAATTTGTGGAGGGCTAAAGATAATTAACCCTGGTATTTAATGAAGGAGATATACCCATGAATCATTATAATAATAATAATAATAATATTAGCAGAAACTTAGTAATAATAAAAACCCATGCAACACAAATTGAGGAACCAAGAGACAAATTCTTACAAAATTATGATTAATCACCCTACATCTCCTATGCTTTCCTGGACTAACTCTCCGAATCTCTCAAGACTATCAGGTCTGTTATTTCACCCAATCGTTCTCGTTTCAAAGCAACAACATTTACAAGAGCAAAATTGCATAAATTAAAAAAAATCTAAATTTTGATTTTTGGGCTCAAAGGTTATTAATCTGTCAAACTAAATCCCATAATATGCCCAACCATGTGTGCCCATGTGTCGTGGCCTAAATCTACTGGGCTTACGCACCGTATAGACCTACTAGAGCATGTCCTAGCCCTTGACTTTTCTCTGAGCAAAGACGATATAAAGAGACAACTATGTCCTAGTTGGCAGCTTTTATTTCAGCGGCTAATAATGTGTGAATAAAATATTGCGCGATTTTGGCCTCACTCTTCCCAATTTGCTGATTATCCTATCAACATTATGATTTGCAATAGGCTCATTTTGAGATGGGTCTACCCGTACAACGCATGACTTTCTAGTCTCTTCCATCCATACGTCCTGGTGCAATATACATCCTTGATGGGAAGATTCAATAAGACGACAGGGACGCCGCCCCTGTCGGCCTCCGCAACGGACCGCGTTGAAACTCTCTCTTCTTATCTGTCTTTTGATCCCGCAGATGAACGGACGTTGACCCTGATAGCCGGCGGTGCGGAAGAAGTCCCTGTCGTCCACGCCCCCTCACCTCCCTTTGACTCGCTGCCCCGTGGTGTTGCCGAGAATACTTAGCCTTAATAATTGGGTGGGTGGTTGGGGACATGGAGAGAGAGAGAGAGAGAGAGAGCGAGAGCGACGACCCGTCGGCCTGTCGGCTGGGAATTCCGTGTCTGAACAGTCTCGTGTTCGTTTAGAATCTGTGTGGATTCTTACAAATAAATAAAAGGTAGTTGAACAATGAGAATTGTGAGATTTTTGGGGGTTTAATGTGAAATATGTCAAAAAAAAAATCTCCCCTCGTCACTTCCTCGGTTGCGTGCATTTCTTGTAGCCTACTCCAAATCGAAGAGAACGTATTTCCTGGAAGGAAAAAAAAGAACTAAAAATGGTCCCAAGCCGCCAACCAACCCCAGCGTCAGGAGGACGTGGGGCTGAGGAGGAGAGTGGTGCCGCCGCCGTCGAGCTGCGGCGGGCCGCGCCGGCTAGCGGCATCCTGGGCGGCGGCCTCCATGCCGATCGCGGCCAGGGCCCTGCTGGTGTAGTGCCGTTTCATGTTGGAGCCCTGGTGGGCCACCAGCTTCGCGATGCTCCGCTTGGCGTTCTGCCGGTAGGGGCAACGCGAGCTGAGGAAGCCGTCGACGAGGTGGAGGTACGCCTCCAGATCATGGCAGCAGCCGGGGCCGGCGTCCGGTCGTAGGAACGGCGACTGGCGGCTGTCCAGTTTCAGCTCGGTGCCGACGTGGGAGTAGGACCAGGTGGTCATCGCCCTCCCGACCGCGTCCCACCACCTGTCCTGATGCGCCGGCCGCTTCCCCTGCAGGGCCGCCCGCCACCAGCGCCGCCGCGCCTCTATGCGGCCGTCACCTTCCTCCGCCTTCTCCGCCGCTGGTTTGCCATCGCCGGCGAAGAGGCCGGGCATCCTCGTGACGACGTCGCGCTCGTTAACGACGCGGAGGACCTTTACCCCACGGCCATTGACCCGATCGGCAAATTCCTGGTTGCCGACATGGGGACTACCGAAGGAGAACACGGCGATGGGGGGGACCTCCTCCCCCAGGGGGGCGCAGTCCGCGAGCTCGTCGGCGACGAGCACCGCCAGGGCGGCGCCGAGGCTGTGGCCGGTGACGGTGATGCTGAGCTTCTCCCCCTTGTAGACCTCCATCACCCGCCGGACCTCCGCCACCACGGCGTCACGCAGGCTTACCGACTTATTTGACCCAGTCGTGAACAGGCTCCAGAAGCCGTGCTCCACTCTGGGCTCCGCCGCCTCCTTCTCGTCCTCCTCCGACTCCGACTCCGCCTCCGTGGCCTCCGCCGCCTCCGTGGCCTCCGCCGCCGCCGCGGCCTCCTTGGGCAGATTGACCATGGAGGCGCGGAAGTTCTCGGCCCACTCGAGGGCCGTGGCGGTGCCGCGGAGGGCGATCACCACGTCGCGGCGGCCCATCCGCTGGATCTCTCTCATGTCGTCGCAGACGGCGACGTACCCGAGCCAGCTCGTCCGCTGCCGCATCCACGGCGCCATCCCGTCAAGCCACCGCGGCATCTCGATGGAGGCGGTGGCGAAGAGCTCGCGCGTGACGCGGTAGGACCGGTCGGGGATGGGGATCCGGCCGGGCTCGGTGGGGCGCTTGGCGGGGTTCGAATGGAAGGCGTGGTAGGCCGCCTGCACGAACTCGCCGTAGCGGACAACCTCTCGCCGGAGGTCTTCATCCAGCGGATCGAGGAGCCCCGCCCAGTCGTTGGCTCCGTGGAGCTCGCGCCACCGCGGCCCAATGCTGCAGCGCGGCGACGACCGGACGTTGCCGGCGAGCAGCCGCTGGAGATTGGTCATGCTCCGTGGGGACATGTTATCGACCTTCCTCTCGAGGGGTAGCACGCCGGAGAGGTTCAGGGCGTTGAGCAGGCCCCAAGGGCTGCCCTCCAGGCCCTCCTCCCCATACGCCTCTCGCAGAGGTTGCGGCGGCAGAGGCGGCGTTCCGGCCTCCGGTGGCTTCTGGAGCAGGCGCTCGAGACTGGAGAGGTGGGTGCTTGATTTGGGCGGCGGCGGCGGCGCCGCCCTGGAGATCGCCGAGATGACGGTCACGTGCGCTCTGGCGGGGTTGAGCGCGGAAGGCCGCCTCAAGATCCCGGAGCTCCTCCCCGGCGAGATATGGCGCGGTGGCGCCGTCGCCGATTGCATCAGCAGAGGCTCCGATCGCCCGGAGAAGAACGAGGGAGAGAGAGGAGAGGAGAGAGTGAGAGAGAGAGAGAGAACTAGGCAACGCGATCTCCAGCTACCCGGCTTTAAGAGAGAGGAGAGAGCGAGAGAGAGCGACGGAGGGAGAAGGCCAGGAGTCACATGATAGCTTTCCTGGTAACCCCCTTATAATATAATAACTTCACGTGACTCCGACCGAACCGCGTTTCTCGTCGGGCGACCGAGCCTGGAGGGGTCTCGCTCGAAGCCGGTCGGTCTTCCCGGGCCTGCAGGTCTGTTTTAAATATAGCTAGCTGTCTGGTCCAGTAAGAAACCTAGACCGGGCCAGGAAAATAAAATTTTTCGGACGTGTGAACCCCCCTGTTGCTGTGTACCTTACCAGGTTCCTGATGGGACTCGGATTACTTAGGGTTATTTAGGTATGACCCCCATGTAATGACTATACTGAAAAGGATAAATCCCCCATCGTTTTGACTTGGCGCTGGAGGTGCCCCCTTGAACAAAGACCATAACTGTCCTATAAAGACCTTAGATTCACACCTACCTACCTACCTACCTCTCCCTCTAGCAGGTGCCCCCTTCTTCCCATCTCTACCACAAAAAGTCACGCCATATATACGCAATTACTATTTCTTAGCTTTGCTTCCTTGAAGTGATAAGAGGGCATTGTGGTCAGTTTTTAAAAAAATCAAACGAAATTGCTTCATTTTGAAAGGCTTAAATTATCTCAATTAGAAAATATTCGTCTCAGTCAACCTAAGAGGCAAAATCATAATTTCCAAGTAGTTTGATGGAGACAAATGGAGAGGAGGGAACTAGTCTCCACGTTAGATGGTTCACATATACCTATGCATAAATAAACCAACATTGTAGTATTAAAATAAAGTTTTCCATAAATAAGACTCTCATTGGTGTACTTGCCCATAAAAATTTGCACTCCTTTCATCATGTAAGTTAGTCAACAATAAGAGGGAATTGTTACCTAAATATATAGATAACATTCTTCTATGATTGACCCCAAAACATGTTAGTATCAATTGATTGAAGCAATTTTCCAAGTAGCCATAAGTCTACGCAAAATAATGAAGGATTCATCTATAATTGCCATAGATTGTGGGGATCTAGAACCAAATACCATTTTAACCATAACCTTTTATGAGTATGAATAGGCCAAGTAAACCCTCTACCTAAATCTACCATTTTATTTGGAATTGCACTCAAAAATCAACTAGAAACAAGAAAATTTAGCCTCATTTTTATTTATGTACTAAGTGAACCTTGGATTATCCTTTATAAGACACACCCAACTCTTTTCTTCTCTCTCCCTCTCTTTATCTCTCCATCTATTATCTTTGCTAAATATAAATATTTAAATAACAAGTTAGTGAGGAATATCTGCTGAATAAAGTTAGCAACCATTTTGTTAGATCGTATATAGTAAGATGATATATTCGTATGAGAAGAAGAGTATTTTATAAAAAGGAAATTAGTGAAAAAAAAAAAGTAAAATGGGGGGAGGTGTCTACCTTGGAAATTTATCTATATATCCTTGGGGAAGTTTGAAAGTACTTTGTAGCACCCGATTTCTTCTGAAATGTGAAACTGGAGAGGAACCAGATCACTGAAGTTGCATGTTCGAAGGAGGTCCGGTTCCCTCCGTTCCCCTGCGGATAGATAACCTGATCTCGGGGAGAGGGCGGGAGCTGGTCTTCCCACTCTCCCTCTCTTTCTCTTATCATAATCAGCTGGCGGCCGAGCCATGGCGCTGCTGGTGCTGCCGCTCGCGCTCTCCGCGGTGAAGTCCCGCGGGGCGGCTCATTTCGGACTCTTCGTCGCGGAGAGACAGAATCACAGCCGGTTGTGCAGGCCGTTCGGTCGACGCTACCGCTCGCTGCTACCGGGCAGAAGAGGAGTGAAGGCCATGAGCTTCTCCGCCGTGTCTCAGGCTCAGTCGAGGGACTCCAAACCCGAGGGCGCGCCCGCAGTCCTCACCTTCCAGCAGGCCATTCAGCGGCTTCAGGTGTGGCTTTCAACGTCTGAGCTTTATCTCGACTTGATTTGCACAATCTTGCTCGGATTGCGTGGCTTGAGTGCTAGAATTACTGGAATTTTCGTCACAAGTTGGAGACGCAGACAATGTGGAGTTGTTCCTTCATCTTTAGCAGATTTCCTGTACTCAACCGTGCTGCGACTTAATTGGATGTGCAACCCATTCTCCATTGTTTTTGACCTGGGCGATCCAATTCTTCAGCATGGGACAACCGTCTCAAATAGCGTTTTGCAACTTCCATAGTCTATCTGTCGGTCTGACAAAATCCGATTCCAGGCGGGCAAACTGATTGTAACGGTAACAATTCAATCTGTACAACCTTATGCAACTGAGTGTGGTGACTGCTCGATGGTTATAATTCACGTTAAAAACTTATCTGAAGAAGATCTATTATGCCGAATGACGAGTCATACTAGTTCAAGTACTTGGAAGTCTTACATTGGGAAGTTTGACAAAAGTATGCCGAAGGAAGAGAGAAAGAAAAGATTATTCTAAAACGAATGTTGCACAACGCCTGTCACTTTAAGAGAGGTTTCCAATATTTCGTAAGCTGAATTTAATTCGTAGTTACGGAAGAGGCATCCAAGCTTGGATTGGCAGGTCCAGTGTAGTTTGACAATAGTGAAAGTCTGCGTTTTGATCAAAGACAAAATTGTAAATGCTTGATATGGGGGGGGGAGCTGACTTATTTTTTCAACATCGTAAGGTAGCTAAGGCTCCTAGATCAACCCACATGTGCATGGATTTTTGAAGTTTTCAAGCAGTTCCTCCACCGTACACCAATGTTAGGCAAAATTCTGTATTAACCATCATATGGCATTGTACAGGTGCTCACGTGGTAGGTTAGAGTGATTTTAGCACTGATGTTTGTTTCGTGCGCCAGTGGAGATTTGAACTGATTATTGGAGGATAGTTTTCTTTGGTAACTGGGAGAGCCAAGATAACACAGAGACTTCCTAGATGGTTTATAAACGAGAAAAATGTCCATAAGATACATAGGCCATCCTAGGGTGCCTCTAGAGTTTTCTTGTCTCATTAAATGAGTGGGGCATTGACGTATTCAATTAAAATAGGAACTCCAGATGCTAAAAAATAATGTAGGCTGGGGTTGACCTAAGGAATTAGTCAGTGAGGGAATGTAAAAATCTGGTTTTGATGGTAAATGCCAAAAACTCGAACCATTTGAAGGATTGAATCACCTCATATTCTCTTGTATGTTAGAGTGCAGTTTATGCATATTTGGAATGCTACAAATAATACTTTACTTTACAAGTGTAATGTGATATAGGTAACCCTTGATTTTTCATATATGGGCAATTCTTACCTTAATCTAATCAAGCGATTGAACTTCAAACAGTCCAAAAAATGTTTAAATTGGTGTGAAGTTCACATCTTTCAAGACAAGTCCTGTATAGTTGTTTCTGTTAGTACGAATACGTTACCACAATTTTTTAGGTCTTTCTTTTGATTGTATCTTCTTTTCCTTTGTCTTAGATATTGAGCGAAAGTTTGTGTCTGATATCCTTGTTTGTTGGATAAAACACCCTTAATTATTTTTCAGTGCTGGTGCAGCTAAATGAATATAAGAGTGCTGTGAGATTCGTTCACGTTTTGGGTCCGTGGTGGAGTCTATATGAGTTCCTTTACTTTCTTCTGTTTCTCCTTCATTAGATGTGTAAGTCTGGGCCTTGATTTTGCGATACTGGTGACCAAACTCTTGACAACTTGCTTTGGATTCATGAGATGCTTCAAACTCCATAGTTATGAAACAGATTAACTGCTTTGGATTGGGACTTGGCATAGACTCGGGGTAACCTTGGGGTCACAATTTTTATTTCCAGTTTATTTTTTATTTATCTCATTTTTTGTCTGACGGTGTCATATTTCTGTTAAGGAAATTAATTATTTTGATTGTATATTGATAAACTGGAATTTGTTTATAGGAGTACTGGGCCTCCGTAGGATGTGCTGTAATGCAGTGTAGCAATACAGAGGTAATTGTCCTGCAAGACATCATTTCCTTCTATAATTGTTTATTCTGTCTTCTTATTCTTGTATATGTTTTCTTTTCCTTTCTTTTTTTCAATTGCTAGAAGCTTGACTTTAATTGTTGGAATTGTAACTAACAGCTCTTTGCCATTATATTCAAATAGTTTCTTGCATCAATATTTGATGGAGATGCACTGCATACACGCCCATGATATGTACACAGAAGTCATTGCATGCCATTCTTTTCTTTATAGAACTGTTTTAGTGTGACATTCGAAAAATATACTTAAAAAGTTTATACTAAAACAATATGTGTTGGATTCATAATTTCTCATTCATTCAATGGAATGGTGATGCTACCATCCTAATTCTTTTTGTTATTTTTGTTACCAGGTTGGAGCTGGGACAATGAATCCTTTGACTTTCTTAAGGGTTTTAGGCCCTGAACCATGGAATGTTGCGTAAGTATGCTGTGGAAGCGAAGATGCATATTTTCTGTCTGTGTTCATTTTTTTTATACAGCGCACAGGGATACCTTGGCATGCGAGAATGTGGAAAAATAGGAATTTATTATCTTGCTGACATCTAGGGCACTGAATGATGTCAGACGAGCTAAACAGTTTCCACATATGAAGTACTTGGTTCTCATAACGGTTACAAACTTGTGATAGCTTTGGGTCACTTATATACAATTTGATCTTTTAATTATTAAAATATTTTCATTGAGGGGATAAGTTGATAGGCTTGTGGATGCCAATCTCATGTTGATCACAAACATAATTTTCTTTGCTATCTTGGAGATTAGCAACCTGTTGCAATATGAAGGCATGAATTTTTTATTTCAATTGTATTATTCAATGGCACAGTAGTCAAATCGGAGTTGCACTGTTATTGGTGGAACGGGGTGCAGATTAAGTGCGTTTTTGCTCTGTTGAAGATTAAGTTATTATGATTATGATCACTTTCTGTAGGGAGAAAAGTAAATCCTTGAAGCAAGTTTAAATAGGTTTTGGCTATGTTGAAGAGTGAGGTACAAGGATTATAATTCCTTTCTATAAGGACAGAGTTCATTCATTGAAGCAAAAAAATCTGAACATTGTATTAGTAATATTCAAAAATTACCTAACCTAGGTTCGCCTTGTCTTGTTAGGTTATAACAGAAATCCTTAGGTCTTTCGAAGTTTGACATCTCTACATACTGTAGTACTGCCTTTCATACTATTGTGAATAACTTTACCCGGCCATGATTTCGTAAACTGGATTGCATTGGATACTTGATTAATATTTTCTCTTAGATTCCATTTCTTCCTCGTACATTATCCTTTTTTAGGACCTCTCCTGCATCTAGTATGCATTATTTTCGTTTTTAAAATAATGTTCCAAAGAACACAGTTGAAATTCACTGGGGTGCTGATTTGTTGCTGCATTAGGTGGTGCTAACCTTTGGAGATCTTTTTGTTATGATCAGTAATATAACCGTTCTTTGCTATGGCTATATGATATGGACATTTTTGCTCAAGGTATGTGGAGCCTAGCATACGACCAGATGACAGTCGTTACGGTGACAATCCAAATAGACTTCAGCGCCACACACAATTTCAGGTTCAAATGAACTTTGCAAGTTGCTTTCCTGCTTGTCTGCTCTTTCCAGTCTTTTATACCATCTTGGTCTTAGAAGTGATGTAGAACCTCACACTCTTTCCCAGGTTATATTGAAGCCTGATCCTGGAAACTCGCAGGACCTTTTCCTTCATAGCCTTTCAGCATTAGGTGAGGATTATTTTATATGAAAACTCAGTGGATAGTTTTGTGATTATAATCATTTTTTTATTACATCTTTTTATCCGAGCATGTGCTATAATATTTTTGATAGAATTCTGCTCCCAAAACCTATGTTCTTGGGCTCTTTTATGGTATCTTAGAAACAAGTCTTTATGAACAGGACACGTTATGCTCAACTATGGTCCCTAAACGCTAGACAAATGACCAATGGCTTGTTTCTTAATCTGAGCTATCTATATGTGGTTCAGTAATGTAGAACAAATTTACAAAATTCTTTCATTAAGAAGGTGAAGCTGCCATTACCTACTTCAATTGGACTGTCTATCATAATTTTTTGAGTAAGGGGATTATTTGAATGACATGGTTTACTGTAGGGAAATAGGAACATGAACTTACTCCGTAAATTTCTTTTAGTCAACCCTAAATGGCCATCCAATCAGTGATGGATCATATTATTCTTTTTTTGTTCTCATGGCGTATTGCCATCTGTAGCGAGAATATTTTAGGCATTTTAGATTTTTGTTAAACTTATTATCATTGTACTCACTTGTCTTTTCGTATTGTTAGGCATTACCAATGAATTTAAGAAGAAACTATAACCTTACATCGTATATGTTTCTATTGTCTCATAAAATTCTATCTTCATTTGAAATATTCATGGTGGGAAATTTTTGTGATGTTGAATTCTTATCCTTCTGCTTTTCTACAAGTTTTCTATTTTATAAGAATTTTGGATTCTTTGTTATTTTGTGAATTTTTGCACTTTCTAGTTTTTAAACTTTTCAATGTTTTCTTATTTTTATTGAGAAGATACGGATTTTAGGCACATGCTCTATTTCCCTTGGGGATTGTGCACGTTAATTTTTTTTAATATTTTTAAAAGCTGTCTGTATTTAGTTTGTTAAGTATAACTTTCAGTTTCTTGACCTTATAGAGGAATAACTTCCTTTTGTAGACGTATGAGACATGAGATCAATTTTTTCATCTTTTATCTTGGTAAAAATGATTCTTTCATAGAGTTGTGTTATATGACCCACTGCCATAATCTCTAATTTATTTTCTCATTTTTCATGCTGACCTTATTTTTGAAAGCTGGAATGACTATACTTTTTCACCTTCCTCTTGAAACGTTTTTCTATGCTTATCCTGGTATTCGAAACCTCACTTATGCCACAAGTCTTCAAATCGTTCAAGCTTTTTGTCTATTTCTGATATTTATTTTGAAGAATTCACTAGTTCATAAGATTCTTCTTTAACTTTAATACAATTTACTCATTCTCATTCACTAAGTTCTCATAAATCCTGTTGATTATTCCAGTTGATTTGTTGTCCACTTCATATGACCTCAGTTTACGCTAGTGATTCATGAACACATCCTGAATTGTATAACTTTTCTGTTAAAATTATAAAATATTTAGCCACTTTTTTATGTACAATTTTCTATTGTTACTTTCTTTAGGACGTTATGTCTGGTTTCTACGATTTCACACCTTTTTTATCTTTGTATTAGGTATTAATATTAATGACCACGACATTCGATTTGTTGAGGACAATTGGGAAAGTCCTGTAAGGATCTATTTTTATTGATACGATAGTCTGTTATAAAGACCCTCCCTGAGCTACGTTTTTAGTTAGTCTTATTTGTCTTTGCCATAACAATCTTTTGGATAAATGTTTTACAGGTACTGGGTGCCTGGGGACTGGGCTGGGAAGTTTGGATGGATGGGATGGAGATAACTCAGTTTACTTATTTCCAACAGGTAATGTTGTATTCTTGGCTATATGATCTCAAAAGCATCTGTTATAATGACTCTGTGATGTTGTTTTCTGTTTTATTGGAAGATCAACCTAATAGTTGCCTTTGTCTCAGTATATCTTGAATGTGTACGTCCAAATCAAGAGATGCCCACTGTCATAATCCACTTTTTTACTCATTTATGAGATTTTTCCGCTTTATTTTTTCAAAAATACGACAAGTAGGCAATGTTTCAGAATCTGCTTTCATGCCGGTGCATCTTTTACATAAATGAGGTATTCTTGTTTGAGCGCTGGTGACGAGTCAGAAATTTTATTCTCTTTCGTTTGTTTAACTTCTTTCTGTAGTTTTTTTTAATTTCAAGTTTGAATTAACTTTTCCTTCAAATATGCTTCATTATTATCTAAATTATTTTACTTATTCCGGAATATACTCTTTATTTTTTTCAGTCTGGAAGTCTGCAGTTGTCCCCAGTATCTGTAGAAATTACTTATGGTCTGGAGCGCATTCTTATGCTGCTTCAGGTAAAAGAAAACTTGCTTGATATTTTATTTTATGTCTTCTTAATTTGTTGGTATTATTTTTTTGATTCAAAGATTATTTGCAGGGTGTTGATCATTTCAAGAAAATCATGTACACTGATGGAATCACATATGGCGAACTTTTTCTTGAGAATGAGTATGCTTGCCGTGGCATTTTTCCCTTTAGTTCCATAACTCTTGCCAATTCTGTCCTATTTGGCTTTGCTTTTGATGCTACTAAATCTGTTCTTGAGATTATAGTCTGTTAGACTCTAAAACTTCATTGAAGTTTTTTTGTTTCACTCTTTATAGAATATCTTTCTCGAGTATCTAGAAAAGACCTTTACATGTCCTTCCTATGAATGTGAAGGCATTCAACAGTAGTGCGGTGCATCAGGGGTTCATCTTCTCAATACAATGCCTTTATGATGTGCCATTGTTTCATGCATTACTTCATGATGTCCTTTGAGGAGGTTAAAATTCAATTTGAGTATGGAAATGAATTGCTTACAGGCAAATTCTTGTTACAATGGTTCTATGGTATGCATATCGGTAGTATGAAATAGGAGTTCTATCACTTGCGCCCCACAAAATCAAAGAATTAATAAGAGTATGGAATGACTCTTTTTCTAGAATATACCTTGCCAACACTCAAATATTCAGGAAGCAGATTATTGTGGAATGGGATATTTAAGAGGCTGAAATAGGAGTAAACAGCTGACCTGCAGGAGATGAAAATGACTCATGGATAATGGTATTTTCTATAGGCAATGGATGTTGTTCATTTGATGACGACTGATTGAATTAAGGTACTGTTTCATGAAATGTTACATTCATAGAAGTAAATAATTTCCTAGTTGGAGGGTGGTAACACTTATAACCTTTTTGATTAATAGGATAACCAAGAAGATACATTTCAGTGATCTTGGTGCACGTTTTCCTTTACTCTGAGTATGATCATGAACAAAGGAAACGCATCCAAATATTCTTGGTTTAATTTTATTGTTAATTTGGTGGTGTGGGAAAAAATTGGCTAGGGAATCTATAGGATTGCGGAAGTCTAAGATTCTAGAAGGCATATGATTGATGAGGTATGTGGCTGTGAGGATACCCTCTCCCCAAAAAATGTTTTGCACATGATGTTGAAATAGAATGGATCTAGTTATCTCTAAAATATGTCAATTTTTCCTTTTGGCCGGGCCATTTTGCTGTGGAGTATATACACAAGAAGATTCGTGTATAATTCCTTCTGCTTTAAAGAATAAATTTAAACTTTGACTAAAATATTCTTTAACATTGTCCGATCTAAATTTTTTGATAGTTGTACCCAATTCATTCTTTATCATGGTACAAAAGAATTTAAGAACATCACATACATCAGATTTTTGTTTAAAAAGAAATACCCACATAAATCTTGTGCAGTCATCAATGAAGGTAACAAATCATTTTTTTACCACGAATATCATTAACAAGACACGGTCCCCAAATATTACTATGGATTCGGAAGAAAAGAATCACTCCTTTCTCCTTGAAATGAAATGAAGCCCGTGTGTGTTTAGAAAGCTCACACACATTACATTTGAGAGTGTCTAAGGACACTCTTTGAAACAAAGAAGGAAGAATATTCTTTAAGGTACAAAAGGAGGGATGGCCCATCCTTGATGAAGTAGATGAATCTTATTGGCAGCTTCTAGAGGTTCTATGCATTGATCTGCTTTCATGATATATATTTAGCTCAATTTTAGAAGATGAAGTCTATCATGTTCTTTAGCATCCTCCGATAATATACCTTATCAAATATTATACAAACATCTTTGTCAAAGAGGGCACGGTAAGGTGAGGCTCTCACAGGTTTATTAACAGAAATATGATTTGTGAATAATTTGGGAACATAAAGCACATTATGAAGAATGTCAAGGGGCTCAAGTCCAATATCTCCTGTACCTGCAACTGTTAGAAAAGATCCGTCTGCACTTGAGAAGAATTGGTCATATGGTTGGTTGCCCCTGGGTCCATTACCTAAGAGTTAGAAATATCTCTTGAAGAAGCTTTAACTCTGAGAGAGTGATGAAGCTTACCTTGCTGAACTCATGAGTATTGTGTCATTGTTGACTTCAATTTTTTCGATTCCACTTGAAGTCTTTCTATATCATTCATCTGATATGAAGGTGGGTGTTGTTTTTTGTTGAAATCTGTTGACTGATTTGTAGGTAACTTTGCTGTAAAATGTACTTGACTGCCATATTTTTCAGTGATAAAGTGTGGTGGTTTGCCATGTAATTTATAGCACCTGTCTCAAGTGTGATGTGGTTTTCTGCAGCATGTACACCATAACTTGTCTCTAGAGTCAGTTTTCTGATTCCTTGACCATGTTGAGGTGGTTTGGGTGGATCAACAGTCTTCTTCATATTGTTGCCCTTTTTTAATCATAGATGCAGAATTATTTATTTCTGGACCTGACATCATCAATTTCCTGTGACTTTTCTCATTTAAGATGATCGAAATAGCTTCATTTAACTCAACTTTCTTCTCACAGCTCAATATCTGTTGCCTGACCTGATCAAACATAGGATTAAGACCAACCAAGAATTTAAACTCTCCTGTCTATGAAATTTCGTAATGCAGTAATTTTAGTAGGTTTTTCGGTGTCAAGACTAAAATAATAGTCAAGTTCCACTTATAGATTCTTTAATTCTCCTGGATATTCCGTCACTATTTTACTCCCTTGCATTATTGACATTGACTTTGTCTCAAGTTCATATATGTGAGCTTCATTATTTTTCTGTGAGAATTTGGTGTGAACCATCTCCCACAAGTCCTCGATAGTGGCTAAGAACAAAAAATCATGGCTGATTTGTGGAATCATGGTTCCCCATAGCTAAGTTTTAATCAGGGAATCCTCTTCTCTCCATCTCTGAAATTCTCGTGACATTGGGTCTGGTTTCCCCTCTATCAAGTGGTGTATCATGCCTCTTCCAGTTAATACTTCATGTATATGTTCTAACCATTATATCAGATTATATCCTGTCAGTTTATACTCTAGAGGCATTGAGCAAGATTGAATAATCTTGTGCCTCCAAGAGCAAGATTAACCTCTCTTGTGGAGATTGAATCAACCCCAGAAGATGAAGCAACATCTCCTGTAGCTTCCATTTCAAGGAATAGCCGTCTACTTCACGAAAAAACTGATTTTGTGACCAAATATTGAACAGGAATATTCAAAGAACGGTGCGAGGACCATAATATCAGAATCACTAAGTGCAGAAGCGAATTAGAGCGATCGCACCTGTGTTCGCTCTTTGAAGAGACCACAGAGATGGTGTGTCCCACGCCAGACAGATGTGGTACCAACAGCAGTGGTACCTCCCTCACAGCTAACCATAGATCGTCAAGAGAGAGGGATTTGAAACCCTCACCTTGGCTCTGATACCATGTAGAATGGTAGTCCTCAATCTGGTGTGCTGGAGATCCCGCAACACCTTTGGAGAGGAAAGAAAAAATTTATTGAATGAAAAACAAGAATCCATTTTACAAGACAGATGGGGTCCAGTATTTATACTAGACACTTGTAAGTACATGATTACAAGTATTCAGGGGATATCTGCCGATGTAAAAGTACAGGGTATATTTGTAAAACCCTCACGACAACAGTTTGGGTATTGAATTGGTTTAACATTCAAATTGTCTCTCAAGTCCATAATGTATGGGGGCTGACATGAGGGCATGCGCTATCTTATTCCTATAGTTAATGAAAATGAACGCAAATAATGTGGTCTCGTGATGTCTTTTCAAGTAGCACATAACTAAAGTACCTCATCCAAAGCCTAAGCAAAAATCCCTGTTTCTTGAGGATTATGGCACACTTATCTTTGGCCTCCTGGAACAATGATGCATTATGAAAGTAGACTAGACTTACTAAATTATCTTGGGCCGGAATGCTGGTACCAAAAGGCATTGTTGTGGGGATGCTCATTTCTGATTTTTAAGATTTAGTTTCCTTTTCCTTTTTATTGATATGATCATTTTCGAATTGATGCTTTACTGATGTACCTTTAGTCTTGAAATGGAATTTTTTGTATAAAATCATAAAAAATTCCTCTAAATATTAATTAATTTGCAAGGCCAAAATATGAAGGTAATTAAGTAATTTGTAAGAATTCTACAATTTCGGTGTGACACTATGTTCAATTGATTCTTGCTCCACTTGTCTCTGGAATACCTTTGAATGTTATGACATCATTATACCATTTTTTAAGTTGGTTGGTTTGCATAAATTAGTATCTAGAAGAACTTGACTGTCTATCCTTCCTGCAGGAAGGAAATGAGTGCATATTATTTGGAACATGCTAGTGTTGAGCATATACAGAAACTATTTGACAATTTTGAGGAAGAAGCTTGTTCGCTACTTACACTTGGTCTCGCAATCCCTGCGTATGTATAAGATTTAGTTTTATCATATGACATGTTTTAGTGAGGACTGTACTTGGATATTTTCTTACAATGTAATTTTTTCCAATGTGCAGTTACGATCAACTTCTGAAGACCTCTCATACATTCAATATTTTAGATTCTAGGGGCTTTGTTGGTGTTACAGAACGTGCAAGATATTTTGCTCGCATGCGCAGGTGTTTTGCTACACTCATTTTTTTTGGTCCTAGTCACCCAACTGGTTGTGTATTGAGCATTGTAACACCATTTGTATCTCGTTCAGTCAGAGTAAAGATAAACAATTCTGGTTTCGTAATGCTTTCTAGCTGTATTCTAAGGTGTAGAAACAATCTAATCATCTCACAGATTAAAATGCCATGTATGATTAATGCTCCTGATAGAAAGCCATGATTTTTTTGTTTTTATTTCTTTTGATGCCAGTTGTTACACTGAGATATAAACTGTATATCATGCCAATTGTTTCTTTTGCATATCGAAGATATTCTTTGAAATACCATCTAATGTTTATGATTTATGTGAGTAGGGAATATTCTCTATTGGGAGAGGCCAGAGGAAAGGAATCAGATAGAAGTTCACTCAATTTTCTTCCCAGTTTGACGATTGATTACATTTGTGATAGAACCCTCATTTATCAGTGTCTCATCCATTCCAACACGTTAGGCTAAATACCTCTTGTATGATATTTGACGCAAACCAAACAAGAATAGTCAATGGGGAAAATTTTCAGTCTTATCGATTCGTAGAAAAATTTCTGGTCATATACAGTTACCCGACCTCAAAAAAGGAAAACTACGTGGGTTGAATCCCACAACTTATAGGATACTCAACCAAATTAGGAAACTGACCAGCAATTGAAAACTGGCCAAATTAGAAACTGACCAACAACCTAACCGTTAATTAAACGTTTTTTCGCACAATAATTCATTGGCTCATCTTCCTTACCAGTTTTCTAGAGCATCTTGCAAGTGATCTATTTATTGCAGCTATTGGACAAATGATATAGTGGTTATCACCAGTGTTCGTTACTACCACAGTGAAAATTGAAGTATCCTAGTTTATGACAATTTGCATTGTGTGGTGGCAGCATCAAGGCATTGAAACTGTTTTGTTCTTATCTGCTAAAAAAAATCCGAACTCCAATTACAACACAGACTGCAAGTCCAACCTATTTCATTGTTTTTTTCTCTGTCTGGTCGGATCTGTACATTCTCATTGTTCCTGTTTCTTTTTGCATGTTCAACTTTCTTATTTTGCCCTCTTACGCATTGCATTGCTTTCTTCTTTTTTTTTTCCCCTTTCGATTGATTCTCTTTCTTATAGGCTTCATTGATTTGTTTCTGCGTGATCTCTATTTACACATGGATTAGACGAGTCTTATTACAGAACCTGATCATTTTGGAGACGGACTTCCCTAGCCATTAGTAGAGAATTTGCCTTTCGTTTTATTGTAGATGAGGAGCCTTGTTGCTGTGTACTCCCAGACTGCTGCGCATGGGTTTTGTTAATCTATTCCATTGTTTGAAACAGTCAGCCTGTTGATGATTTGCTTAGAGTTACTGGTTCTCTTAGCTATGTTGTCCAAGGGTGAAGATTGTTTACATGTACTGGGGACTCCACAATGTTTTTTCATCTATATCTTTTAAATTGACCATTTTTGTTAGATAGGAACCAGTGTGGATTCACTGTTTTCCATCATAGATCGACTCATTTTCTTAAATTATTGAAATATGTTTGAGTGCCAGACTAAACTGTATTTTTGCATATACCCCTGAAATAATGAAGCGAGTGTGAGAAACAGGTTGAAGTTTGAATACATGTAACCTCATGCCCTCTGAAGGTTACATTTCTTGTCAAAGTTTTTTGACAAAGCATCTCAGTGGGTAGGATGTATTCTGACTATATCTCTAGGTTGCATTCGTTTTATACAAAACTTCTTCTTTTTTTTTCAATTTACCAAGTTACCTCGGGTATTATTGAATTTTTTCTCCTTACAACCTGATACCCAGTACAGTTGACATATGAAATTGCGTTTGGAAGTCAAGTCGTAGGTGTAACATCCCTGAGTACATGAATGATGAAATGATGTTTTGTGGTTTAGTCTAATGTACGGAAAAGTTTGTCTCATCTTTGGTGACCCTCCTCCCCCCTTTACCGAAAACTAGAACCAGTTGTTGAACTTTTCTGTTCTTGCTGTACCTTGGAATAGGTGAGAACCTAATCTAACCAAAGTGGGAGAATTATGGTGGATTTTGATATTATAACCTTGTGGGTCATACGTGTGTTCTCTTGCTCAAGAGTTTAATTTACTGTGATGTTTTGTTTATGAATTTTAGCAAGGTTTGTTAACCATCTATACCTTTTATAATTTTAAATGTGCAGGTTTGAAATGCTATCTACGTCTATGCCAACTTTATTCATTTTGTCTATAGTGATTTGTGGTAGTTATAATTTAGGCAGATATTATATCCATATTTTTCCTCAATCAGATTTTTCATCATAAAAGACGATGGTTAGTGTATTTACTGAGCAATAAATAATTTCATCAAGCAGTTTAGCTCGTCAATGCGCTCAGCTTTGGGTCAAAACAAGGGAGTCACTCGGGCATCCCTTGGGCATAGCTTCTGGAGCCGCTGAACTTTTGTTTCATAAAAATATTATTGAGACTGAATTAGGAAAGGTGAATTTTCATCAATTAAGTTTCTTTCAGTATCTATGAGCTTTCATTGACTTGTTCTTTTTCCTTTTCTATCCATGCTTTGTTATGTTCATTCGTTAACGTTTGGATGCCAATTATCTCAGATGTGAACTGGTTCCTTCAATTTCCTTATAAGTCTGTAGTGGTGCTTTTAAGAAGATCCTTATTCTTTCATCAATGGATTAATCATTATGGGTTTTGATATCTGGTATTCCAGATAAGAATTGAAGGATCTTCGACCATGAAATTCAGATCAATACAATTTTTTAAGAATTCATTATTAGCTATTTGCTCTCACAGACTTTGTAGAAGTCCGCACAAACAGATGTGTAAGAGATTTGATGTGAAGAAACAATAATTTCACGGACATACACCTGAATGTCCAAATTTGGGATACCTGAATCCATTTGCATATGCTTATGTTGACAATTGATCTTGATTGAGATTGGTGCGACTTGGAGAATGGAAGGAGTCGATCTTCACGATCCTCCTCTTCCAGGAAGATGAACCAGTCACCATTTCTTGGAGCAGGATTTCCTCAATCCGAAATTGAATACATCAGTTATCATGGTGTCCCGCTTAAGTACGGGTTACATGAGTAAATGGGCTAGGCTCATTACATTAGTCTTTAAATGGATCCGTTAACAGTCTAATGGATCCACTTAACACAGGGAATGACAGGAAAGGACGAGAATACAATGGAAAAGAAACATATAGAAAGGAAAAGCAATCCTAGAAAGTTCAACAGTTTATAATGCCAAAATTGGAGGATCTCCTCCATATTTTTCAGCTTCGTTCTCTTATAGAATCTAGTAGCAATGTACTATTGTGTTTTGTTGCGGAAAATCGTCAATGTACTATTTTTTTTTCTGCCCTGGATGGCCAATCGTTTAAATTTTTTCTGAACATTTCTGTTGCTCAGTTGTTTTTTTTTGTCGTGAATGGTGTTTTGTTCAAATATTGCCTCTGAGTTAAACTCTGTGGCAGGTGACAGAAAATCCTAGAGCCTTCGTTTTGGAGATTGGAACAGAAGAGATGCCACCGCATGATGTTACTGATGCTGGGCAACAAGTATATTCTCCTTACTTGCATAAACACATGGTTCTTATGTTCGAGTTCAATCCTGTTTCCTTATATAGGTATTACTAAGGGTAAAATAGTTCTGTACAATGTAGTTTTAATGTTCTGAGTAAATTTGTTGATGTTTTTCTTTAAATGAAAGAAAATCCTTGGTTGCTGACTAATGAAATTCGCATTTATTTTGGCAGATTAAAAGTCTGATTATAGAAGTACTAGCAAAGCGCAGAATAAACCATGGCGAAGTTTTGTCATGTGGTACTCCACGTCGCCTAGTGGTATTTTTTTTGGGATTCTTTATATGAGTTTATTTTTAATGTCATGATTGTCTAGACCTCTAGATTCTAATATCTGTTTTTGTTACATGCTAATTTTCATCAGTTAAATTGTGGCTTCTTTGTTTGCTTTCATAAAATTTCTTGGATTGAAATCACTTCAAATTGGTCACGCAAAGTTATTCGAATCGATGCTGTTTGGACTGTTTCTGTGGAAAATAAACAGTGCAAAGTATACATCTAATGTTTGGAGTTGTCTCTGTATTTGATGCATATAACTGTGTTATCAGTAGCTTCTGGTGGTCAGACTATAGGTGCCAGCGGCTTGGGGAAGTAATGAGTGAACCAGGAGGCAAATGATGGTGCACTGACTTTATAGGTGAAGAATCAGAGTTATAAAATAGATCTATGGAATTGGTGCTTGTGCATTGTGTTCATTTCACAAAATCTCATAAGAGTTTAATGGTGTGATGCGATGATATGAGGAAATAATCATTGAATGGCACGTGAAGAATGGCTGCTTCCAGTGAATAATCTTCCAGTTAATGAAAGTTTGTAGAAAGTCAGGGTCTGCATGGCACCTCTTTCTAGCCACTGTTATACTGTCGAATGCAGATGATGGGTTATGTCAAAGCCTACGGATGACCTGTTGTCAAAGTTCATATGAACTCATTCATCTCCAGAAATGGCACCATCTATGCGTTTACATAACATGTTCTCTTTATGTATTGTGCATGACAACTAAGAATTGGGTACATTTTCTGCTGAATAAGCAAAAACATGATACTTTTGTTTTCAGCTATGTAAATTGCTGTGATTTTATCACTGGAAAAAATAACCTATATGAAATCATATTTTAGGTGTATGAAATCATTATCTGATAAGACATTTTCTCATTGCATTATGGTTTGATTATATGCTTGGGGTCATCATTTAGCCTGACTATGATTTTGAAGCACCAATTCGTTAAAAGCACATTTTTTTAACATTACTGACTTATTGAGGGCTTTTGTTTCATCTTCTAGATTGTAACTTTCTAGTACTTGCCTATACTATGCTTTATGAGATCTAGAAAAGCCTCTTGTTACATTTTTCTTTGTCAAGTTTTTGTTTTATTTTGATATCTTCTTTGTCTTTAGTACAGTTTGTGCTTCTCTATTTTTCAAATTTATGAATAAATTTTACGATGTAGAGGAGATATCCTTAAAAGTTTTCCATATTTTTCAGATTTTTATTGAGAAGCTGAATTCTAAGCAGACAGAGAGTCAAATTGAGGTCCGTGGTCCTCCAGCAATGAAGGCCTATGATCAGAAAGGAAATCCTACTAAGGTCATTCCTCCATTGGTTGCTCTATTGCAAACCCCCCTCATCCTCCCCCCTCCCCTCCCCCTCCAAGATTCTTTTTCATTTTTGAAGTGGATGGTACGACATTAATTTCGAACGTATGATGGAGGAATCTACTAATTTACATTTAATTCAGCTCCCAAGGAAGTCTCCTAAAATAAAGCTAGAATGTGAATGATCTCAAGATGGTACAATCAGCCCCTTTCTTACTGCCTAGATTCTCACTCCCTATCAACTGATCACAAAGACAGATGCTGCCTACCAATTCAGTTTCATGCTTGAATTAGTCGTTTTCTGGTCATTGCAAGTGCCATAAAAGTTTGTATACAGGATGACTTGCTATACTTCACAGTTCCCTTTGAGTACCCTATCCAATTTTTAACTCCCAACGATTTTTGCTATTTGTTCCTTGTCAGGCTGCTGAGGGATTCTGCCGCAGATATAGCGTTTCTCTGGACTCTATTTATAAGAAAGTAGATGGTAAATCATTTAATCTAAACAATTGACTCAAAATTTATATTTATTTTTGTCTTTTTCCATACAAGTCAGTGGTCCTCAATTTCCATCTTTAGTTTTTCTTATTCTTGGTAATTAGCTTATTGTTTTGTTAATAGGATGTTCTAGTACTTTTAATGTTCATTTAAAGTATTTATATGGCTTTATAGGTCTAACCTCATTTTTTATGTTAATTTTTATCCGAGTGGAGTTTTACTGTAGAAAACTGATTTGGCTTATCTGAACATCATCCTGATCAGATCCACAATCCAGCTTCCTGATCTTATTAGAAACCCATTATCGCTATAAGTTTGCTGACAAAAGTCATCACCAAATATTGTCTCACCTAGTCAACTTGCCCTTTTGTCTATTGTCGTGAACAGCGGTGCAAATGTAGGAGAATATACAGAGGAAAAACACTAGTGTTCACATCATAGATGACTACTATATATAGGTTCCAGGCCCACAAAACAAGGAAGCTACCTAACAACTAGGAAACCAACAAAATAGGAAATGAACTAACTACTAGGAAACGGTCCAACTAAGAAACGAACCCCTAACTATGCATTTTTTCCAAATCTATACACCCTTATGCCTTGCACAATCTTTAGTTTTACAGACTTTGATAGGATAATTCTTGTATTTTTCCCATTTTGTTCCCCCTATTTCTAACGTTCAAACCTGTTAAGTAAATGGGAGATCCAATTTAAAACAAGTTGACAATGAATGGAGGAGGGTCTTTTGTTAAAACCCCTAGCTTTTTATTCTTTCAACAGAATGAGATTATCCCCAAAATACTTATTCATTATTAGGTCAATTCTTTTTGTTACTGTCACATGGACTACATAAATGAGGTGCACAAGCTCGGTACAGTACCTGAAGCAAACAAACTTCAGACATAAGCTGATCCTCTGATACTATGTTTAATAAGTGGCTTGTCCTTCTCCAAACAAATTCACAATAGGTGTAGGCCCGTGTATTTAAATCACAGGATTTTGTTTCCAATTGATATGGGTCTATTCCAACAATAGCAGTGTGGAACATACACAGTGGTTTCTGGGAATCCTCTCAACCTTTATGATTCCAGGGAACTTTGAGACTTAAGGATGAAAGAGGCTAGATGTTCCATAACTCTAGTGATGGTGCTTCGTTTTTGGTTATTTTAAAAAAAATAAAAGTAGTTCTATGTATGTCCTTCAGATTCAGTTACCCATAAATACTAAATTATAATTCTAAAAGTTTGACTCCATTCTTCCTCAATACAGACCCTGACACGCTGCTAAATGAAAATGATTCCCCTGTCCATTCTCATATCTTGATTCAAGAATTAGGCATTTGTGTTGACCTAGATTGAACTAGGTCTTGGTTTTGACCTAAATTAGGAATTGAAAAATTTAGTAGAATTGAGCTCTGCATGTTTGATCTATCTCTCACACATGCAGCTGTGTTTACTGTCTATATGAACTGAACTGCGTGGATTTATGTTGTAGGCAAGACGGAGTATGTTTATGCTCAAGTAAGGGAACCTGCACGATTTTCTGTGGAGGCATGTGTCTAATCTTTCCCCATTACACGCCCAATATCCATTTACTGTTTCCAGTTTGTATTTATGAATCACTATTGATAGGGATCTGATCATATTCTTCTGTCTCTCCTGATAATCCAGATAGGGATCAGATCTATTGATTTCCTTCGAATTATTTTTGACACGGATAATTTTTTATGTGAATCAGCTGATTTCGCAAACCACTATGAGCTTGCATCCTTGTTTATCTTGAACTTAACCATCATTTCTCTTCTTCCATGTCTGGTCATCTTCCTTTTTAGAAAGAGAATTTCAAAGATCGAAGAAAATAGACAATTTATGTTGAGATACAGATCATCCAAGTTTCTCCTAATATCATTGTGCATCATTCATGTTTCAATTTATGTTGAAACATGGTTTATCAACTATAGTCTGACCTGTATGAGTAATCAAGTTTTCACAGTTTCCATCATTGATAGATAATGGGATCAGTGAAGTGCAGTTTCAACATTTTAAAGAGAAGCTATGTTCTAAAGACGATGTAAATATATCAGCATAGTTGCAACTGAATTACTAGAATCTGACATGATATTTGCTTTTCAATCTTGATCGGAATTGAATTGGAAAAATCCGATTAGCAAATCTTTTTGATACCTCGTCAATGATGGCAAGATAATTTTTGAAAAATGACTATGACACCTGTGGATTTTTCAAAAGGAAAGAATGAAGTTCTCCAATGACTGTCTATAGTTGTACACTATTGATGTTTAAATTCAATGTTATCACGTAACATTATTGTACGTAGGAGACTGCTGCTGTCAAAGCGTGGTTCCTGCAAATTATTATCATATTTCTTATTGAATTTGATGGAAATCGATGCGTGAGATTCAACTTTTCATGAGGTTTTCAAAAAAAAAAGTGCATCTATACTATGTTGGAGTTGAATTCGAAGATAATTTGTGCCTGTGACTATACTTCCTTTACGCTGGTGACATGGTCATGACTGGAGATATTGCTAAATGAATTCAGCTACTGAAAGAAAATTTGACTAACGTCCTTGGCAGAACACTTGAAAACAGTTAATGGAATACTGTGATGTGCTATTTGAATGTTCCTCTACTTTTAGTTTCAGATTTCATTTCTATTACTGGTCTTCCTTCAGTTCCTCTAGTTTTTTATTTTGTCTCTATGAATAGCGCACTTTGTATATTTCTTTTTTTATCTTTTTCTCTGCTTTTTTCCTGGTTCACCTTCTTTCGTACTTTCGGTGTATTATCTGAGGTTTAAGCCAATTCAATGGGCATTCCTTGAAGAAAATAAGTTTTTTGTTCATCAAAGTTGAGTGTGCTCGACATTGAGAAATCGTCTTTACCTGTTGCCACTCATAAAAATGGGATTAGTGTGATCTGATTTTATTCTAATATATATACCTCTGGTGGAACTTCAGCATACAACCGCACAAACATTTTATGCTTTTATTTATGTTCATTTTGATTCATGCACCGTTATTGGATGATTTTTTGTGTTACCTGGATGAAAAAGGCATCCAGCCAACCTAGCTGGTTTTATTAGGTCTCATTCGCTTCTTCATTCCATTTGGCTGTTTGCCACTAATTTGCTACAAACCAAAAATTAATTGCTGCATGCTGGTAGCTCAGTGAGAACAATTCATTTCATGCAGTTCATAATGCGCTTTGACATCTGTGTGTGGGATCAAAATTGTCTGCGGATGATGTAGCTACTAGAGATTGTATATCATTTTTTACGGGTTTTTTACCTGTTGCTAATTAACTTGATGTTAATATATGCGGATAGGTGCATGTGTAAGTATTCAGAATTAGACTTTGCTGAAGTAGCTTGCATTGTCACCTATATAGGCAGTGGATTGTTGTCTTGATCGCTTTGGTCTTCTTAGAAACTATAGGGTATTACGTTTAACTGATTTGAATATCTTATCTTGACTTAATTTGTGAAAAATACTGCTGCAAAACTTCACTCTGATTGTGTACAGTCCTTCGCTCTCTTTGTCATGCCATGATGCTTAATGTTGAAGTGATGGTTTCCACTCATCAATATTCATGCCATAAATTTAACTGTGCTCCTTGGTTTTATTCTGTTTGTTTAGGTTTTAGCTGAGGACTTGCCAGAGATTATTGGAAAGATATCATTTCCGAAGTCCATGCGCTGGAACTCTCAAGTAGATGCATTCTCATTTCGTTTCTTTTTTATAATTTCAGAGCTGTGATATTTAATGTTCATAGACAACTCAGTTTTTTATCCTTTCTGTTAGTGGTGAAAATAGGGTAGCTTTGTCATTTTGTCTCATCTAATTATTTGCAAAATGTTGTTGCGTCCTTCGCCATTTTTTTAATATCCTTGTAGTGGTAGAAGGAAAGATAGTCTCTGAGTCCTGTTTGAATGTGATTTTTGACAACATGAAGAAAAGAACGACGTCATGCATAGATTCAAGAAAGCAAGGGATGTGAGAAAACTGGTGTATTTCTCTGTAACTGGTTCTTGAAGAAAAAATTGCGAAATAAGTGAGATTCACATATGTCCAGTAGTCAGTTATTTTCTCTGACATCTCAAAGGAAAGAGAATCTTCGGATCTCTGTGTGAGAGTGTCTAGATTATTATGATGATTGTTTCCGTTCTTAGTTAATAGACAATCAGATCCGAAAACTTCATGTTTCCTTTTTGAGTGAACAAAGAGTACCGCAGGCCTGCAAAGTCAGCGATGTTCTTGTATTTTTTTTTCAAGATAGTGAGTCGTCTAAAAGTTAAATGCATTTCGATTGATAGTATGTAAGGCCCTATTCTCCAGACACAGTTTGCTTAATTCAAAATGGTGTCATGTTCTTTGATCAAAGATGAACCAATCTCTGTTTATGGCATCTCACAAGATGCATGAACATTAACATATGTTGGGTAACTATTTGGTCCTCATGTCTGACGCCAAGTTCAGGCCAATAGAACCTGTTTCAAACAGGTTATAATTTTTTGATGGTTTTCTTAATCTTCATTTATTTGTTATATGGCTGACATCACTGGCATCATTGTAACCTAGATTCAAACACATATTCAATTTTTACTTTCAGCTTATGTTTAGTCGGCCAATCCGCTGGATTCTTGTACTTCATGGAAATGCAGTTGTTCCATTTTCGTTTGCAGGCCTCCCTAGGTAATTATGCTTTGGATTTCTAATCATTACCATTGTTTACTGGTCATGTCTATACAGTTGTAACTGCCAATAGTATTCTGGCTCTTAGATAAATGTATTTTGTTATTTTATTTCTTTCTAGATTCCTTTATTTGTATTTCAAATCATCTTGCCATGTTTTCGATTTTAATCTATGCCAGAACTTGCTTTGTTCAAGTTCTTCCCTTAAATGAAGAGTGTTTTTGCTTTATCTCCTTGTAAATACCTTACTTTGATTTAAGTTTGTCTTTTTTAGTGTTTTATATACCTTCTTCATATCATACATGCTCTTAGAAACAAGGGTCCTCCCCACTCAGTTAATGTATCCTACTTGTGAGAGCGTTTCCCTCCATATAAATCTTCTCTCCCTCTCTCTTTCACTAATTCTCTCACCTTCTCACTCCTCCACTCTCTTTATTAGACTAATTTTCTTAGATTTTCCTGTGTCCATCTCTAATGTTACTCCCCTTTACCCTCTCCCAATCATTCTCTGTCATGACTCCCCCACTTCTGCTCTTTGTTCCTCTCCATTTCTGTCTTTGGCTTTCCCACCACCTCTCCCTTTCACCTTTCCCTATTCCTGTTGTGGCATAAATTTTGGCTTAATCAAGTGGTGCAACAGAGCACATCCATTTCCTTGTTTTGTTTTTCTTGTTCTGAAAGTGGAGGGATGGGAGAGTGGGAAGGACGGTTTGTAGGGGTTGACTTGAAGAATGAGATGAGTGGGGGATGGGGACTAATCAGAAGGGGAGAGACGTGAGGAGGAAAATTTTATGCCCTTAGCAGGAGAGGTAAAAGTTTGAGAGATGGAGATTAATGCGAAGATCCTGAGGGATAGTGAAGAAAACAACCAGGAGAGGGGGCGGGAAGAGAGAGGGAGAAGAGAAACGGGGTTGAGGGGAAAGAACTGGAGAGAGGAAGGGCTCGGGATTTAATTCCTCAATGTTAATGGCCAGGAACTGGGGATCAACATGAAGAGTGGGAGGAATAGGACGGGGCCTATGAACTGGATAGGGAGGAGGAAAGCTGACGAGGGCAGGATGGAGGTATTATAATCAAATTTGAAAAAGTTAACTTAGTTGGACAGGTGGGGGCACATTTCTAAGGTTATATATGTTTTGGGGAGGTATAATTTTTATTGGAAATAAAGCTTGTAGATTGTGCGGAGTGTTCCCAAGTAGCTATAACCAAAATCTTTAAATGCTAGTTTATCTAATTGATGTGTGCTTTATGTTTTGATAGTGGAAAGATAACTTGTGGTCTCCGCAATTCACAGTCAGCAGCACTTGAGGTATAGCATTAGCCTTTTCTCATTTATTTTGATTATAAGGAGACTAATGGCTTTATTTCTTTGCCGTCTTTAATCTGCCATTGGTGACGTCAATGCTGTTTTTCTTGTTGTCAATGATGCATCTAATTTGCAATTGCTGGAAAGAACTATGTTCCATATCCTTTTCTAACTGTACGCCGGTGGTTTGTGTATGATTTGAAATCATGGTTTCATGAATCTGGACTCTCAACCTTTCAGAAGGGGCACAATCAAATACCATTTTCTAATTGGCTTTCAGAGGATCTCGAGTGGAATTGGTAGGACAATCTGATCTGTCAGAAGCAGTCTAGTGGGATGAGCACAATTCAGTGTTCGGCATACATTAATTTATATGCATTATACTGAAATATTTGGCTCCCTAATTCCTGACCATCCTTACTTTTTTGGAAAAGCATTTGAGTACGATGGGATGTTGGGATTGTAAATCATTGTCAAGAGACATTGTCACTTGGCATTGACACTAGGGAGGCAGTGCAAATAACTGGAGTCATAATTTTCCTTCAGTTTTCTTCTCTCTTCCTCTTTGCCATCTTCCATTGCCCTCAGTTGGGTATCTTGTTCTCGTTCTTCCTCTGATGCTGGCTAAAGAGCATTGGAAACTAGGTTATCCGACAATCCAAATCATGATAAATCTTTGGGTATAGATTCAATTTAAACTTGTCTCTTTCTTTTTCTGTTCTTGGGTGGCGGCTAAAAGATATGATGTGATTGGAAACTGGCTTACCCTAACTTCCGTATCATAGTCAGTCTTGGAGTATGAAATGCACATATGCGAGAAAAGTGCAAGAAATATATGCAGACATATTCTTAATATCAGTAGTAGAGCTACAGTTACGTATTCATTTGCAACAAAGTGCACGTCATGGAAATTTCTTGATAAGATGTTTGCTTATCTAGGTTATTAGCTTTAGGTTCACGATCTCCACTATAATCCTGCTCATCTCCCAAGAGCCAAAACCCGAGGGTACATTATTGCTTTAGAAAGTGGCTAGTTTGAAATACATGCTAGGAAAATTGATTACACATGAGTCCTGACATCAGCAAAGGAAGGGGTTGCAATGTATAGTTTGAGGGGGAAGGGACAAGTTTGTTAAGGTACCTGCACCTGAGGGTTCCTTTCGATGAGGCAATTGATTTAGATCTTTTTTTTTTTTTTTTAATTGATTTAGATCTTACACTAGATGATGATTGAGAATAAAAAGATACTTGAGAGTTTCTAGGGGAGAGAGAGTATTGTGCGTATATAGTTGTTGAAGTGTCCTGGTGAGCATGTAAGAAATTTGAGAGTCATGCAAATGATTTGACAACTATAGATGTAACATCCTTTCACTGAAGGATAAACTATTTTTTAACGTTGGCTAGGTGACAAGGTGACACAAAAGCCCAAGGCATTTAGGCTGTCTAAGTGAGTGGCCAATAATGGGCTTGGCCAGACCATATGAACTACAGCGGCAGGGTACTAGGGTTTGCGGAAGAAACTAATTTGATTGGAAACCACGGGGTTATGTGTCATGTACCATCTAATGCATTGCTTGAACATTTGATGCTGGAAAGGGTATTTTTGGAAGCATATTGAAGTAGACATCATTTTCTAGTCTTCATTCCTTATCCTATTGTATCCATTATAATGCGCTTGTGGCATAACACAAGTATCATTCCACTGTTAATTCGGAGACATTGATAGCAACAATGGTAGCAGGAGTGATGCCAGGGGGAGGCACCCTTTCTGATTTTCTGAAAGTTTTCTTCAATTAGTCTGGGTTAGACTGACGACAATGATTCACAATGATATCAGTGTGAATAATCTTTGATCAGCCAACTTCAAGCTTGCTTGATGCAATGGAATGAGGATCTAATCAAATCGAACTACCTAAATACATGCTGTCTCAAAGTGGCTAGATTGGAAACCCCTGGTTTTAAGTTTCCATTAAGCTTTTCTTCTATTTTGTGCCATTCTCCTTGGCACTTTCCCCCCTTTCAATTTGTATTGTTGAAGGGACACATCAGCTATGGCCTACCCATTATCCGTTGGTAACACATAAAACGTGGTGGAAACATTTAAGAGCCAGACGTTTAGGTCGTGGCTTTAAGAAAAGGTTTTCTTGGTGAGATGTACCTTTGGCTAATGTCACTGTTGTGTATAATCGCTTGTAACTGTTGAAGGAATTTCTGCTGGAAGAAGAAAGAGTCAAATTATGTGAGCTTTTGTTAGAAGGTTTCTTGTCATCTTACTTTGAAAGCATTATAAAAGCTGAAAAACTCTACTTAACCTAATTTATTATAGAAACTACCTAAGCTCTATTGATCTATTTTCATTGCACGTTCAAAAGATAAATTGCCTATTTAATTTCCAAGAAATAGTAGAAAAATATTATTTTTAATTAAATGCTTTATATAATTTTTATCAGTAAAATTCCTGTTAAATACTTAAAATTTGGAATCCCAAAAAAAATTCTATTTAATTGATAAATTATAGACAACAAAATCTCTGTTGAATTTTTCAACAGAGATTCCTAGTGCACTCTACAAAAATCAATTGAAGCAGTTGAACCCACCCCATTGGCGATGGTCCTACTCTAATTGTTGAAGGCCACAGATTTGTTCAAAGATTCAGGATTGTTTTGAATTGTGTCATCCATCTTCTTTTCTATTTTTTGTATTTTGTTGTTCCAGTACTTCTGCCGATGGAAAAGAAGTGAATATGAGTACATTCGGTCAAAAATTTACAGCTTTGGCGATCACACTTAAATTATTTAAACTGTAAAATTCTGAAAGGACTCAGGATTTTCGTGATTTCCTATTCTTGATTTTCTTTTGTAACAGCATTGGTCTTCATTCTTGCCCGTTAGACGTGCTTATTTCAGATGGTTTTCGATATTCTTTTGCAGATAGAAAATGCTGAGTCTTATATTGGTGTTATGGAGAAGACAGGGATCTTGACTAAAATTGAGGTAAGTTTGATTGTCTTTTGAGTTGCTTTTCTTATTGAAGTTTTCCTTCTTGCTGATATTATGCAAAAAGGACATCGTTTAAGCTGCTTTCCTGATGTTCTTTTTTTTAAATTTAATTTTGACCACGTGATCAGTGAAGAATGTGTTCAACTAATTCTATGGTGCGTCGATTCTACTTTTTGAAATCCCATCAAGAATTTCACATTGCTTTTTATCTTGTGTTCACATTGGTCTGGCGTTTTGTCATTCTTTAGAAATTAATTCATGGTGTCCTATCTGCTTGGTTAATGGCAACATTTGTTCCTTTTGGACACAAAATTAGTGTGACAATAAGGGTAACATATGTTTGGAAATTCCACTCGTGTTAGTTCCAATAGTAGTCGTTGAAAGTTTTCAGGGAGATATCTTGGATAGCCATTATAAAACTGGAAATTAGTTTGAATCCTGAACTGCTAAAGTTGAAGTCTAATACTTCCTTATATGCTACGATGTAACAGGAGCGCAAGCACAAAATCCTGCAGCAATCTAGTTCCTTAGCAGATAGTGTTGGTGGGCAGCTTCTGTATGATGATAGCTTACTTGAAGAGGTAAGCATTCACTTTTAAAATTTCCCCTTATTTCATTGAGTGTGATAAACGACATTGTTAAATCTGATAATTTATTGTATGTAGGTTTCAAATCTTGTTGAAGCGCCAGCTCCTATACTTGGGCAGTTTGATGAATCATTTTTAGAGCTTCCCGAAGAAATATTAATTATGGTAAATGATTTGAGTTATCAACTAAATATTAATCTGCAGATTTGGTTTTGAACTGTGTTTTTATGTAGTATTTTAGGCCTCAGACCATTTCCATATTAAAATGGCTTGGAGTTTCATTGGAAATACTTTACAACATCTATGACTAAATTCAAGAATCAACACCTACTGGAAGACGCATACGGTTGTGAAATTGACCGTTATGTTAAATCAGAGGCTTGAAAATCATTACATTCCTAATGGAAGATTTTGAGGACAAGATCTGCGTCCTGGAAGAAGCTTACCGAGGTAGTAGATGCCATGAGGACTACAAGTCTGGGAAAACCAGGGATTCACCCTAGTTTATCATAGATAAGTGTAAACTTTTTAATCAAAGCGGAATCTTGGATTACTCAGGTCTCACTAGATCTGGATTGAGATCAGATTGACGATAGCATCTTATCTGGCAAAATAGATGGATTCGAATAAATTTTAACGAAAAGGATCCTAATACAATTTTAAAGTATATGCATAAATAGATAAAATAAAAGAGTTTATTGGTACAAACAATTTTAATAGAGAACTACTATAGTGCAGCCCTTTCATAAAAGTCCTTGTTCTGCCCTGAACCTTGCCCATTTTGTAGGCGAGTGTTTGGTATTGGTCAGGTAGGTGGGTTAGAGTGCAGCCTGCTGTAGTGGTAGATTGTAGTGGATGGCATATTGTGGCAGCATGCAGTTTGGTTTTCAGAATTGGATTGCATCATTGTCTGTTAAGTGTCCCATTTGAATGGTAATCATATTAAGCAAATGAATCAGTTTAGGATAGAACCTCATCTGATATATAATTCGAAAAAGACATTCTTGCAATGTTCCAGAGGAGTATTTTCAAGATGGATTGGATTCGTTTGAATGTCTTCACTTCTGGCCTGTTGTGCTAACACAGGGTTTTGCACGTCGTCCCTTCATCAGGGGATGCACCATGTGTCTGGCTCTATGTGAAACTGATAATCCAAGGAAACTATTTAAAATGGGGAGAGAAACAACAAGAAAATGAAAATCCACCTGTTAGGTAACACCAAGCATGTCAACTATTTTCTCTTCAAGTCTCCTGGTGTCAGCCTATGGTGCTCCACCCACCCTCTGTCATTTTCTTCCCACTTCCTGTTCCGTTCTCTTTTGGCAAGTTGTATATGCGGTTCTTCCGTCCTTCACCTGGACAGTAGTGTTCTGGCCAGAAATGGTCGATCAAAATGAGCCCACCTAATTCTTCTCCTCCTATCCTCGATTGACAGAGATGGGGTGTTGCTTACCTCGATTCTCACTCGTCCTGTAGTGCCTCAAACAGTCCTGGAATCAGAGTGATCAATAAGAATCATGGGAGGGGGGGAGGATTTGAGGCACTAAAATTTGTTCAAACTTGGTTTGTTCCGATCCAAATCACCTCGTCTTGCTAAACGTGCTAGTAGTGGAACTACCAAGACTGGACAGGTTTTTGTGAACCACTCAGAGTAATCAGGAGGCTTCTTGATAAAGATATCATGCCATGTAAATACCATTTGACATCTGTTATCCCATCGATTGATACTTTAACAGCCAAACAAATTCAGGACAGGGATGCGAAGAGTTCAAGAAATTTAGCTGTCATAAATAAAACATGTAGCTTGACCAAGGACCTTAGACTCAGATAATCAACCTGGATAAGATAGTTTTTGTAGCTCCTCATTTATTCTACTATCTCAACGTAGCACCCAGATCTATATACGTGATCCAATCATGTTCTGTTCAAAGAAGAATTAAACACAGGTTTCTAACAGGACAGGAATATCTCCTCTCAGAAAGAAAGGAAAAACAAGGGAACTGCCTGTTGCAAGTTGGGGTGTGGTGGCGAGTCATGGTAAGCAACAATCTTTGTGGTGGGATGAAACTAAAGCCATTTCACAATGGTAAGGTTCATACGTTAGTTGACTAAAACGGAAGGTTTTTTAAGAATCGATAATTATAAACAAAGATCACCATTTTCTCCTCTCCCTTTTGGGGAGGAAATTTAAAACAGGATAGGAGCTGAAGTGGGTGTTTTCCCAGTTCATGAATATTGAACTGTATGTTTGCTGATATCAAACGAGCTTTCGTTCATCAAGTTTATGGATTTATACTGTCCTTAATGCTAGTGTTTCTTTCATATTGTTTGCTAAATCGTACTTGGACTTGAATTCTTTCTAGAAAGATCTAAACACTTATTGATCATGGTTGACTGAAATCCTTTGCGAACATCAATTTGATTATTATGGACCACTATATTTATCCTAGCTTTCAATGGTTTTCTGCCCCATAATTTTATAGTTCTTCTAACGGTCATTGTATTACCTAACAGGTTATGCGCAAACACCAGAAATACTTCCCTATAACAGATAAACTGACTGACAAACTTCTGCCATTCTTTATCTCAGTGAGGCCACTCTCTGCATATGAGACTTTCTTTTAATCTACACAATGTTTAAACTCTAAGATCACTGGAAAGTTCTGTCTATGATTGGCTCATGGATTCTGTTTTCCAGGTAGCAAATGGCGCAGTTAATGTCAAAGTTGTGAAGAAAGGAAATGAAGCTGTACTCAGGTTTGTTAACATCTGGTGTTCTTTTGCCAAATGCAAGGAGAGTATTGTAAACCAACACAAATGCCTCAAATGGTTGTTTCCAAAATAAATTCCTACCATCATGGATTTCGGCTCTTTAAATTTATGATTTTCGCAGGGCATTTTCTATAAATGCCATATGATTTTCAAATTAGCAATTTTGCTTTCTTGTCTTAGTGCAGACGCTTTGCAAACTGAGTCTGTCTCACCATTTGGACCTACTGAATCGTAATCTGCAATGAGTGTATAGCGTCCATTTGAGGAGTTGGGACTGCTCTAGTCTCGAGCCAACTCAGCATAGATTCCCAACTTGTGACAGATGACATTTATCCAATAATATTATCTAAAGTGAGTTTGAGCAACGTCAAGTTGGCTTGGATCCTCTTTGAAAGGGTGTTGGCTCACTATTAAAGTTTTGATGCGCCTAAAGTTTTGATCCCCTTAAATCATTTTGTTGAGATTCTATTTTAATGGAAGGTATTTCACATTAAGGTTTCAAATAAAGAGTGTTTTTTGTTGGCATTGATTCAATGAAATTATGCCATATCCTAAAAGTTTTAGGTGTGTGACTAACAAATTTGTACTATTTGTTGACCGATTTCAGTGGTTTATTTGGTACTGAATGGCTGGATCTAAATATGGTAAACATAAGCCTTTTTTATTTTAATTTTAACTTGAATCAATTCCGTTTTTCCGCTCCAAGACATACACATTTTGCCAACTTGGTGTCCCACTCGGAGGTCTTAAGGCTATAAAAAGGATTGGGTGATCTAGGTGGAGATTTAAAAAAGTTTAACTTCACAGGCCATGCCTTTAAAAGTTTATTTATGGATGTAACTCTGAAAAATATCTTTTTATGTAAAATGATCATTTCTATTTGTTTGAAACCTGAATTGGCTTTTCAGAAGAATTGGCTAATTGGGCTGATCCAATCCTCTTATGAATTTGGTCAGATTCCATTGATCCAAGATCCTGTTATATCTTCTTTAACAGTACATGTTTTGATGTTCAGTTAGTGTGATCAGAGAAAGGTTTTTCCACTGAAATTTAAACATGCTTTGGTGTTTGTTTTGGTTTGGGATGCTGTTGAATATTTGTGATTCACCTAAGACCGTTCACTATCCAGGATTTGAGTGCAGTATTCTTTCTTCCCCGTATTGAATGTATGCCCGCTTTGACAGTTCTAAACTGGTTTTTATCTGTCCTCAAACTTGTACTATCAATCTGCATATGCAGAGCCCGATATGAGGATGCGAAATTTTTCTACAAATTGGACACACAAAAAAGCCTTGCCGAATTTCGTACACATCTGAGTGGAATTCTCTTTCATGTAAGTAAATGTCCAGACAGCCTTCCAGGAACAATGCAGACTTGCTATAGATTCAATGTGGCGATTGTGAACTGAACAGGAAAAACTTGGGACTATGTTAGACAAGATGACGCGTATCCAACGGACAGTCTCTAAGTTGAGCTTTGCTTTGGGTATGGGTGAGAGTCTTGTTCCAGTTGTTGAGGATGCTGCTGCATTGGCGATGTCAGATCTTGCTACTTCTATTGTTACGGAATTTACATCACTGGCTGGAACAATGGCTCGCCACTATGCTTTGAGAGATGGTTCTCCTGAGCAGGTATTATCTTAATTATGCAACCGTATACTTTTTTTTACTAACAATTTGCATCTGCCTTATCTGTGTTATAAAATTTCTACCTCTCCCACGAAAATGTTGTGTTTAGGAATTTATGTCTAATAGAAGTCTTGGAGGTTTCCCGCTAGAGTCATGTATTGTCCAATATTTACCATAACCGTATGCCCCTGTTGATTCTTAAATGGTTTAAATTATGAGAATTAACATCCTGTTTGTGTACTCTGATATTTTTATTGATATCTTGCTATGGATTCTTCAATGGATCTCTAGAAAAAAAATCTAGTGCAGCAATCAGTAACTTGCAGGTTTTGTTACCTCAAATGAATCTTAATCAATTCATATACAAGTGGCGACGAATAAAAGGTGCTAGAAAAACTATAATGCCTCTTATTTTCTATGAGTAGATTATAAATCGCACATTTTATTTTTTAAATTTGTAAAATTAGTTACTTAGGTGAAAAAGTATTTTTTACTATTCGTCATTTGCCACTAGTTTATCTATATTTTTGTCTCTATAAAATACGAATGAAAATGCATTTTTTATGAAATCAGTTCCGATATGTGATTGGCTGTTGTCTCTCATACAAGTATACTTGTTGACTTTTCATGTCTTTCCCTGTTGAAGGTTGCAGAAGCCTTATATGAGATCACACTTCCCCGATTTTCTGGGGATGCCCTTCCGAAAACTGATGCGGGAATCATTTTGTCCATGGCTGACAGGTCCTTACTGATCGTTTTTCTTCAATGAACTATGATTTATATATGAAATTCAAAGTATTGAATCTATTTGTAGTTCTTTCCTCTTTTTCTTGTCAGACCTTAATTCGAATCCCCAAAAACACGATCTGCCTGAGGGAAACTTAAATATAATAAAAAACCATGTGGCATATCTATTGTTCTATGGAAAATTATGTATTTTAAACTTTTCTAGATTCTTTATCTACATACCTTTTTTCTAGATAAAAGTTGAATCATTTCTAGCTGTGAATTCTATGTCACAGAATATCAAAACAAAAGAACATATAAAGGCCCTGGTCTAACGGTGTTTTAGCAGGGCATTTATACTTACGCGATCAGCTATGTTTCAAGAAAGTTCTTTCACATCTTAATTCTCTGTATCGATATTTTTCATCCTGTTTACCTTTGGTTATTTTCATTGACCTAATGACCGTTGATTTGGGAGACATTCTGGTCACATAGCGGGGATTCTTCCCGGTTCAGTTTTTTTATTTTATTTTGCCAATGACACGGCCTGACCAGTGGCTAAAAATAATAATGGGTCTGAGGATAGTCTAGCTTGTGCAGGTCTCTGATTTCCTTCCCATTTGAAAAGCACATTCTGATATCTTTGTTAGACTGAAAAGCACACACGGTCCACTCTCCTTTGTACATTCCACAGTACATTAACTTTTTTTAAATACCTCGATGACGTGATTAGATTCATTTCAGCACAAGTATTCATGTAGGTTCTCGTTACTTTCAAGAATGTTATTTCTCTAGGAGCGTGTCTTTGAAATTTTCTGTACATATTAGGCTTATGGTAGAAGTAACCATAGCGTTATCGAATTGGGTCTTCCAACTGAAACTCCCTCCAATGAGCCCTGATTCTACAGCATTCTTCCTCAGCAATTATGTATTTAGCCTAAGAAAATGAAAGCCGCTGATTTAATTTGTCCGCATGGCTGTCCATTTCTGAGCATTCATATTACAGTTATCCTCGGTCAGCTTCTCTTGTTTTCCATTAGTGTTATTCTTGTCAAGTTGAGTTTTCCAATTTATTACAATAAATAGTCCTGCCGTTGCCTGTAAATGTACTAGACGTTAGCTTTCGTCTGTCTATGAAGGACAAACAGTGAACCACAAATATGCAATAAAGTATGACCCAAGCTTCCACATTGCTCGAAATGGAGTTAAATATACTGTCGGGAATTCAAGAGTTTTTTCTCTAAGTTTTTTGAAAACTCAAATCATATGTACTATTTGGACCGCTGCATGGGTAAATCTCTGTACAAATTTATGATATTTTTCTTTGGAGGAACCTAAAGCTAGTAGTAAATGCCTACTCTTTAATCATAATTTTATTTTCTTTTTCCGACCACCAATTCAAGAAGGATTCCATTTTTCATTGCTCTGTACAAATTTTTTACTCGACCATTTTTCATCATGCCTTCTTTTACTGTTTCGTCATGATATCTAAATATGGAATGATGCGATTGTTTCCTATGATATATAGATTAGATAGTCTTGTCGGACTGTTTGGTGTTGGTTGCCAGCCCACATCCACCAATGATCCGTTTGGATTGCGAAGGATCTCATATGGCCTTGTAAGTTCACAATGATATCCTTTTAGTTTATTCAAAAGATGCCGATCCGTGGGTTGAATCTTTTTTACATGCACTGACAGGTCCAGATATCAGTGGAAAATAAGAAGAAGTTTGATCTAAGAAATGCTTTGGAGCTAGCTGCAAATGTCCAACCTGTCAATGTGGATTCGAGTACTTTAAATGACGTGCGAATTGAATTGATATCGGTTCATATTTTTAGGTTTTCATCTTCGTAGTATAAGACGATTGGATTTTTTCAGGTACATCAATTTGTTACCCGAAGATTGGAACAATTTTTGGTATGTATCCCTGCAATGTCAAAATAAAGAATGCATCCAACTGATTGCTTACAATCTTCCTTCTAATTTTATCTCTTGACCCTCTTGGACTTGGTCTGTTTCTTCATTCTTGAGCATGGTTCTTATATGAGAAAAAAGCAGCCATAAGCACTCGAGAAATGGTCTTATAATATTTGTCTGAAATTATTTTTTGTAGTAAAGTCGTGTTTTCTCATTCAACATTTACATTTTCTGACAAAGTTTAAGATTAGTTTAAGCCTCTGGTTAAATTATTTGCATGGGCAACTCAGCAAGATCCTAGGGTGGAACGACTAGTCTGAATTTTACCCTTTCTTCTACGTTAGCTGATCTGACTTTTTTCTGTTCTTTCCGTGTGCTAGGTTGATAAAGGGATAAGTCCTGAAATTGTTCGTTCAGTGCTTCTAGAGCGTGCAAATTGCCCATATCTAGCTGCAGAATCAGCATTCGAGGTGAAACATGTTTATAACTTTAATATTGTATGGTTCACAGGTTTACAATCAAATACTTGTTTAAAAATCATCTGATCGTTTTACTACCAATTATATAGAAAAAATTGTCATCTCATTCGGCGAATATCATTTCCGTTATGCCACTTTCTGCGGGGATGTTCATCTCCATCCAGCATTTATTTAAAATATAGCTGTAATATTGCTCTTCAATCCAGTATTTTTATGTCATGAAAACTCCTGAGGCCCTTTTTTTTCCCTCTCAAAACAGCAGGGCGGATTCATAAGTTTTAGTTCTGGCTAGCCTTGCACGACTCAATTGCTGGTTCTTATGCTGTTGATGTATATTTCCAGATGGACATCCTATCCAGAGGTGACCTTTTGCCAAAAATTGTCGAAGCATATTCACGCCCAACCAGAATCATCCGAGGAAAGGACATCGATGCAGTTCTTGAGGTAACACAAGTTGCTACCTACAGTAACAATTTGTCTGAGTGACGAGGTTCGGTCCATTAAAAACCATATGGAGAGGCAATCTGATATAATTCACTGGTAAATTAGATCGTATTTTCAGCTGCTGATTTCCCTATATAGTTCTCATTTAGTATACACAGATGTGACGGATTACCCTTTTTGGTGTATCACGGATCAGCTGCTTTGCAGTTGTCCCTATCTTTTTTATTTTAGCCTTTGTTACCCAAGGGCAGTAGAGTGTCAATTGAGGAAAGGACTTTTCCTTAACTATGCTCGTGGATATTTCATTTCCCTACATACCCTACCCTTTCTACCCTCTTCTAGCTAGCCACATCGTTTCTTGCTGAACTAAATCCCCCTGGATCATATCCTGTTCTTCTTTTTCTGGCATACATAGGTCGATGATGCTGCCTTCGAGACGGAAGAGGAAAGAGCATTGTGGGATGCTTACTTGGTGGTAAAAACCAAAACACACCCGGGTACGCTTCATATAAACCAACCCCCCTCCCCAATATAATCTTCGGCCATGTCCTGATTTAGTAAGGCACTGCCACTTCATATTTCCCGGTGTCGTTAAACATTGGCTACAAAGTCTGCCTGTGTCGGGGGTCCCGGGATCCTTCACTCACACCCTCTGTCGATCCCCCAGGAGTCGACATCCATTCTTTTGTCGAGGCATCATCTGAATTGGTTCAGCCACTTGAGAACTTCTTCAACAACGTCTTCGTCATGGTGGTAAGTGTTCGCGCGTTTCTCGCCATTTTTAGTAACGTCTTCATTTGGCACTGGTAGGAGAGGCTCACCCAGTTCTTATGCCAAGCGATTGAAACCTACTGTTGGGCAGTAATAAATATATAGTTGACCTGCATTGAGTCCATTCCACGTGAAAAAAAAGGCATTCTTGAAGCTGCCATGTTCTTGGGTTGATGGACCTGGGCCTGGGTATTTTTAACTGCCGATTTAGTTCCTGAGAGAACTGCTTATTGATCGGAGGTGGTACAGGAAAAAAAATGTTTAAAACCCTAGAATGCTTGGTTTGATCTTGGGTTCTTTAAAAAAATGTTTAAAAACTGTTCTTGGGTTGATAGGAGGTGGCGGGGGGGATCGATCTTCCATCTCTTCGTATTACACTATCCGCATTCTTCATTGTATCTTTTGACCAGGAGAACAAACCCTAGAATTGATGGAGTTCGGCTTCTTGGTTTGGCAGGAGGACGAGAGAGTGAGGAATAACAGGTTCGCACTCCTCAAGAAGATCGCAGACCTCCCCAGAGGAATTGTAGATCTGTCTGTTCTTCCTGGGTTCTGAAAGCCCAGGGCAGAGCCGATGATCCCGAGTGCTGTACGGTCGCCGTGTTGTTTCCTCTGTTCGATCATCGTTCACTCGGAGGTCGCGCTATTTCTTCTTTTATTTTATTTTACCAGCTTCCAACGGCATTGGCTTCTCACTTGTTTTGCCAATTTTTATCCAAACTCCATTTTTTATTTACCCTTCTTTTGCTCTCTCTCTCTCTCTCTCTCTCATGTGTACCTTTTGCGGGGCTCTCTACAAATGTCGGCGAAGAGTCCCCACTAGAGAGAGTGATAATGAGTTAAAATGGTTATTAGGGATAAAAATGACGAGTTTTCCTGCGCCCCCTGTTGCTTTCTCTCTCCCGCTCTTTCACTCTCTAGCGAGAGAGAGAGAGAGAGAGAGAGAGAGAGAGAGGGAGAAATTGGGACAACTCCAAAGGGTTTTTCCTCAGGTGACGCAGCTCCGGCATCTTCCGCAGCCTGTTCGCCATGAGGCAGCAAGCTCCACATCACTATCTCACAGTAACAGGCCTTCGTCGTCGTCCTCAAGAATCATGCGGATTTGGTGTTGCATGCCGTAGGTAATCATCCCGCAGCGCTGCTGCATTCGTGGGTTCCATCTCAGTGGCAGTGGTCACCCACTATCACGCTACCAAAGCGAGGCGGCGCCGCCTGACGACCTGCCCGAACACAGGAAGCAGGAAGGAAAGAGAAGCCGGTGATGAAACTGGAGACTCCCCCGTGGAGGAAGAAATGTTGGCCCGCCACTGGAGACCGCCCTTCCCCCGCTGGTCCGTGCGGCTGGGCAGCGCCGCTGGTGCGGCGGTGCCCTCGAGCAACTGGGCGATCAGCCGGCTCGTCAGGGACGGGGATGTGGATTCCGCCCGGAGGCTGTTCGACGCAATGCCGGTGAAGAATCTCGTCTCCTGGAACCTGATGCTGGCGGCGTACTCCAAGAAGCCCGGCCGCCTGGCGGAGGCCCGGGAGCTCTTCGCCGAAATCCCCTCGCCGGACGTTGTTTCCTTCAACACGATGCTCTCCTGCCACTTCCGCAACGGCGACGCCGAAGGCGCTCGCCGCCTCTTCAACCAAATGCCCGCCAGGGACTGCGTCTCCTGGAACGCCATGATCTCCGGGCTGGCGGAGAACGGGGCGACGGATGAGGCGCGGGGGGTCTTCTCCGCCATGCCGGAGAAGAATCTCGTCTCCTGGAACACAATGATCGCCGGGCTGGTGCGGGCCGGGGATCTGGCCCTCGCCGAGAAGTACTTCCGGGAAGCTCCGGACAAGGACGACGTCGTCCTGCAGACGGTGATGATCAGCGGGTACATGGCCGCCGGAGAGGTCGACAGGGCGCGGTCCCTCTTCGACGGGATGCCCGCCAGGAATCCGGTGACTTGGAACGCCATGATCTCCGGCTTCGTCGACAACCAGCAACCGGAGAACGCGCTGAAGATCTTCCAGGCGGCACTGGGCGGCGGCTCTAGCCCCCGCCTCAGACCCAACTCCTCCACATTGAGCAGCGCACTCCTGGGCTGCAGCCATCTTTCTGCCCTCGAATTGGGCAAGCAAATCCATCAACTCGCCTGCAAGCTCCCCCTGATCCTCGACCCCGTCGTGGGGACGTCGCTCGTCAGCATGTACTGCAAGTGCGGCGATCTAGGCGCCGCACGCAAACTGTTCGAGGAAATGCCTCGAAGGGACGTCGTCACCTGGAACGCTATCATCTCCGGCCACGCCCTCCACGGCCGCGGCGGGGAGGCCCTCAAACTGTTCCACGAGATGACAAACAACCAGGGGATCCTCCCCAACTGGGTCACCTTTGTCGCCGCCCTCTCGGCCTGCGCCCACGCCGGCATGGTGGGCGCCGGCCGGCGCATCTTCCGCTCCATGAGGGAGCGGTACGGCGTGGATCCCCGCCCCGACCACTACTTCCCCATGGTGGACCTCCTCTGCAGGGCCGGCTTGCTGGCTGAGGCGGCGGAGCTGATCCGCCGATCACCCTTCCGTCCCCATGGAGCCCTCTTCGGGGCCCTCCTGGGGGCCTGCAGGGCGCAGAAAAACCCCGAGCTCGCGGAGTTCGCCGCCGGGAGGCTCCTCGAGCTCAACCCGAGGAGCGCTGGCGCCTACGTGCAGCTGGCCAACGTCTACGCCGCCGCCGGCCGGTGGGAGGACGTCTCCAGAGTCCGGCGGCTGATGAGGGAGGGGAAACTCGTCAAGGCCCCCGGGTGCAGCTGGATCGAGGCGAAGGGCGCTGTCCACGTATTCCGTTCAGGGGACCGCCGCCACCGGGAGCTGGAGGCCATATGGGCCAAGCTGGCGGAGCTGGAGGAGGCCATGAAGAGGGCTGGCCATGCGCCGCATCTCGGGTCGGCGGGTCACGACGTTGTGGTGGAGGAGAAGGAGCGGATGCTGCTAGGGCATAGCGAGAAGCTCGCCATCGCCTTCGGGCTGCTGGCCGTCCCCGCATGGGCGACGATCCGCGTGTTCAAGAACCTCAGGGTCTGCGTGGACTGCCACAACGCCACCAAGCTCATCTCCACTCTCGAAGGGAGAGAGATCGTCGTCAGGGATACCTCCAGATTCCACCATTTCAGGGATGGTTCCTGTTCCTGTGGGGACTTCTGGTGAGGAGGGAGAGGAAGATGAAGCCATGTTCCTACTCTGGAAAGGAAGATGGCGTACAGGCAGCCCTCCTACTCTGAACTAAAAAGCAGGAAAGATTAGAAATTTCTTTCCAGAGCGACTCGCCTGGTTTCTCCCTTGTGGGCTCTCTCTCTCTCTCTCTCTCTCTAAATTCTATCTCTACGAAATTTTAGATGCTAACCCCATCAATTACTGGGTTTCTAATCATTCCAAAAGATGAAGAGGGAGGGTAAAATTCAGCCCTTTCACGCAGGCAAAACGACGTAATTTATCTTAGGTTCATCAAGAATCAACAGGGGAACCCCATTGAGGTTCTTAAGGATTGCCTTTTTCTTCATATACACAGACTTCCTTCCACAGAGCCCGAACCCCGATGACAGACTCATCAGGATCTATTTGCATTCTCAGATGACGCGGAATCATAATAAGACATCCTTTGAATTCTTCTCACGTTTCAATGGAGAGAACAGAGGGAAAGAGGGAGGATACTAGCGAAAGTGGGTTGGTCCCCACGAGCACGACCAAAAAAAAAGAGACCCCATCGACCACCACACACCATCGTAACCTAGAGGAGGGAGAAAAAGATGAACTCTAAACAAGGCTCAGACAGTTCGCTTGAAAAAGGAAAAGAGACGACGCTGGGTCTGCGGTTGATTAGATTACCTTACAGGGAAAGAAAGAGATGGCGTCCTGAAGGGCTAAGACTGGATGGGCTTGATCTTGAAGTGGAGAGATATGAGAGAGAACACGAAGCACTTCAGGTCCTGCAACCACAAAAAAAAAGCAAAGAATTCAAGGGATTTCCATTGAGAGAGAATGCCCCTCTTCTTCCTTCCTCCTGAGCAGTGTGCATCAGAGCAAGATTTCCAGGTCCAGATAGAAAAGAAAAAGGAATAAAATAAGATCTTTGTTTGTTTTTTTTACATTTATTATAGACAAAAATGGTTACACTTCTCTCAAGTCAAACTTGGGTGCCACAAGAGATTTTCCCTTTCTAAAGGAGGGAATCATAAAAGATATCATCGAACTGAGGACCAGAATGCAAATCAGCACGTCTTAACTTGGGAAATCAAGGAAATCCAGACATTCATTAAGAGTCAGCGTATGGTATCACTAAGCAGAAGAGGCTAAAAAGTCAAAGTTTCGATGGATTGAAGTATTGACACTAATCTGACGAGGGAAAATGGTCAGAAACCTTCTGATGGGAAAAATAATTCGCATTAATCAGTGGCGTACGGAGGGTCTCTCCCATTATTCGAACTAAAACAATTTATCTATGGAACAGTATATTTATACATCTCTAGCCCTAGTTTATACATCCTCATATCACCAACCTTCTTAATTAGGTCTAAAGTTCACCAAATGGGAAACATTTAAGATGAAATCATAAAAGCGTCAAGACATTACTTTCTCGAGATCATCTTAATCTTCCATGCCCTGTCAGTCGATGAGCTCTTTAGCATCAATGACCAGTTCTTAGATTGATGATCACAGGCAATCCATGTCAAAGATGAATATAGACATGTCACCAATCAACAGACGAGCTTTAACATTCTGAAAATCCATTTTATGGAGTATTTATCAACGTTCTTCGTTTAGCCTAAGAACACTGCATTACTTGAAAATGTACAGGAGCAGAGTTTAAATGATTGCTTCAATTGGGCAAGGTCGCTCGCCCACGTTGATCAAGTAGACAAACAAGCGTAAATCAATGTCAAGGTGACTAAGATGAGTATAAACTTTCCTGAAGCTCCGAATAAGAGCAAGTTGGACCAAGCATAAATGGCCTGAAGAATTGCAGGATTCAGAAAGCTTTTTCGCTAAGAAATTTTCTCAGGGATCAAAGGGATAGAAAAACAAGCAGCAATCAATCCTGACACAAAAAACATGCTTGGAGGACGATATGTCAACAGACGACGGTTTCTTTCGCTTTTTAAAGGGATTTATGTTGGCATGGTGAAGGCGTTCGACGTTTCATGCACTTCATTAAGAAAGGACAATCGAAGTATCAAGCCAATTCAACAACTAGGCCATGTCTGAGATACACTAATGTTCTGCTACTTTCAAAACAAGGGGCAGCGGAAAAGTAAGCTCCTACTATCAAGACACTCCGCCCAAAGCAAGTAGGGTTGAGGATGATATTCTTAAACGAGGCAAGTAAGAAAGTTTGAACTTGAGCAGTAAAGATTCTTCGATTCTCCAAAAGGCACCCTATTTCCTGATAGAGTATAAGGAATAATCTTTGTTTATGCTCCTCTCAGATGGAATATGGTAAGCAACGGGTGCCCAGTCTTCTTTTGGGAGCATGTTTACTACAAGATACTAAATGAAGACAGACGAAGAAAAATGAAGAAAGGCCGTGAACTGTAACTCGAGCATCTGCACAGCTCATGGAATACTAGGGGACTCAATTGTGAGCGGTTTTCATGAAATAAAGCATTCAGACAGAAACTAGCTAAGACGTTTCGCGTTCATCAAAGCCCGGTTGATTGAACCTGTTACAGAAGGAACCTGGTAAAAATGTTAATCCACTCAATCTTCCGTAAAATAAGTTGTGGCCAGATCCTGAGGACAAAGAGTAGTAGGCACATATCATAAATTTGCGTTAAAAGGAGATTGGGAATGTGTTATCACACTGATGAGTTTTCACTAAGTAAAAATTCCTGGGGTCCTAACTAGTAGGGTAGACTAATGCAAGGAGAAGTGTTATAAGAAAAAATCATTACAGTTCCAGTTATAAGCGTCTGCTCAACAAGAAATATTATGCTCTTTCCATTTCAGAGCAGAAAAATATTTCACAATTTTTTCCGTAGGGTTCTACGCAGTCCGTGTTATTATCCTTCTTCTTAGCTAAATAATGTGACAGATTTTTCTGCTCAAGAAAGCCATATCCTGTTTTCTACACCATCAGCGATGGAGATTACCTCCTTCAGGATGCCACTAACTCACCTATAATTTATAATGAATGAAATACTGTCTTTAGAGAGAGAGAAAGACATGAATGAAAGTTTTCCAGTTACCAACAAACCTGGACAAGATAGTAGAAGATGCGAAGGCCCTCAGGATCACGGCTAGTTTGGACGTCGACGAGGGACCCAATCTTGGATGTGGTGAAGGAGATGTGTTCATTCCCCATCACAATCTCCAATTCCTGTCTACCAACTCTGTCTGGTTCGGGCCAGTTGTTGTCATCTTCTTTCATGATCTGTACCATCGACGGCCAAATCAGGAGCCAGAGCATGATGAGAGTCCACAGAAAAATACAAAAACAAAAACCAAAACTTACAAAGAAAAACACCAAAATCACCTAAAAATGTAAATCCCACCAAAAACCCTAAGACAAACAAAAACCCCAGCACTAAAATCACCAAAAAAATAGAGGGCAAGCGAGAAAGGAGGAAAGAGTACCTCGCTCTCCGCGATGATGCGGCGGCACTCGCGGATGACAGCGGGGGTCACGAAGAGCTCCTTCCGAATCATGGTGTCGTTCTTGTAGTTGGAGTTGTTGGCGTATCGAAGCTTGCCGTCGGGGCGGAACTCAAACTCCAGGAACTCATGACCGAACTTGCCCTTGTGCCCCACGTAGTAGCGGAGGTAGAACTCGTCTCCACCAGCTTGCTGCCCCCTCTCTTCGCCCCCCCTCGCCGTCATGGTTAACCTAGCTCTCCCTCTCCGGTTTTCTCTCTCCCTCAGCCTCCTCCACTGGTCTTTATAGTTCCGTCGAGGAAACTTGGGGCAGATGGCCGGGGTACGGAAGGGAAGCGCCGCCATCGATGTTTTAAGAACCGTATGAACCGGACCGGTGTAACCCACGAACCGGACCCGACGCCCGGTCCAATCTAGTCTTACTAAAGAACCCTTTGATTTCAAATGATGAAAGTGGTAATTATCCTGTTTATTTCGAGTGGTAATAAATTTTATTTATTTAAAATTATACGAATTTTTCATATAAAATACTATTTACAACCATTTCCGTAATATTATTATGTACATAATTGTATACGGTTCATAGTTATAATATTTAATTATATGTACGTAATGGATGGATGTCCCCTTGACTGCATGAGTCTAAGATAACACGGTTGTTCCCAAAGTCTTTAAAAACCCATTTAAAAAGAAAAAGTGATCTTCCAACATTCAAACGGATTAAAAATTACTTTCTTCTTTTTGTTGATTTTGGTAGAAAGTCAACGATCGTCTCAAAAATGCTATTAAAATGGCACTTGAAAATTTTCTTAAGAAGAAATGTTTACTATGATGACCATATATCCCAATAGAAAATCATAAGAATATATTAGGGTTTTTGCCGATTTCTTTATAAACCCATTTGAAAAAAAGTGATCTTCCAACATTCAAGCGAATTAAGATTTTCTTTCCTCTTTTGTTGATCTTGGTGGAAAGTCAACGATCGAGTCTCAAAATGCTATTAAAATGGCACTTGAATACTTGTTCAATGATAACCGTACATCCCGATACAAAATCATAAGAATATATCTCAATCCATTTAGAGTAAGCTGGTTTCTATCTTTAAATCTTCAGATATTGTACGGTGATTGGGGAGGCCATCCATCACTTATTATTTATATAAGATTGAGCGAAAGAAAAAAAAAGATTTATATATTTAAAGTTTCAAGATCAGTTTCTAAGAGCGAGCGAGTCATTAAGAGAGAGAGAGAGGGAGAGAGAGAGAGAGAGAGAGAGAGGTTTCTTTGTTTGGATTTGAGTACGATGGGTAATATGATTGCATTATCATAAAAGACTTTATTACCATGCAGTGGATTTGACAAAGAAGTAGCCCATTATTACCAACCATCCAACACTATCATCAAAAAGGGGAGGCGGCTTCAACCGTACCAAGTCTTTCAGGTTCATAGATAATTCGCCGCCCGCAAAGTTTTCCTCAGAAAGTCAACGACCAGCCCACTAGGCGAGGCCCCTCATGAAGCCTACAGTCCTGGCCGGTCACCACAGCATCAAACATGAAATCCCAGTTGTAGGCTAATCTGAGAACTCCGAGCAAGTCATCACTCTTTCACCTACAAGGGACCACCTTGCGCCACACCAACTCCTATCATCCCCTAATGGATGGCTAGACAAAGGTTGTCTATAGAGGTTTTGAAACTTGCTTCTAGTGTTTTGCAAGAGACCACCCCTGTTTAATGGTATTCAAACAGTGGGCTACAATTATTTTGCCAAATATACATAAATTGTACCCGAATTCTCCCACGTGCAGCAGCTTCCTGGAGCCTGAAGAAAGATAATGCCACAAGCAAGCATTAGAGAGAGAACGAAACGTAGAACGTGTTTCAAAAAACTTTCCTGCGTTGACTAAATTAGATCTAACATGGGGGAGTAGCGATACCATTAACGTCACTGAGGGACAGGATTGAAGTTTAGAGCTTCCCTCCATATGAGTTCCTTGATATTTTCCTCTGTGAATGAGGGCTGCTCGAAGTCAAAATTGAAAGCATGAGGGCAAACTGGCTCATCATTGAGGTCGTGGAGCGATGACAGGTATGGATGGCAGAGAGCTTGGTCAACTGCACAGCAAGAGTACAGCAGCTGAGACAGATTATCACAGATGGGGGAGACAACAGCGAGAGAGAGAGAGAGAGAGAGAGAGAGAGAGAAAATCGTAAATGATGAACATCAAACCTGTTATTCGCCTACTTGGGTCAAACACAAGCATTCTCTCGAGGAGGTCAACGGCTCCAGGAGACATGCGAGGAAACCTCCTCGCAAATTGCTGTTTTGGGTACTGTGGGAGCTGTCTGACATATCTTCGGGCATTATCACTCCGGAGAAAACCAAGGCTCAAGTCATCCGGTGATCCTATCAGCTTTCAAAAGTGAAGAGAATAAACAGGAGTCAAACTGAAGCTGAAAACACAGGAACTCGAGATTCAGCAAGATATTTATTTATTCGTTTATAAATTAAATGGAAACTATTTTGATAAATTAATTAAAAGAACCCAATTTTATAAGTTAGCATGGGCCAGTAAGGATCAGCCTGATCTCATTTCCAGTTGGCTCTCGTTAAAAGCATTCAAAGACCTGTCCAACTCAGAACTCCTCAGAAAGAAGAACACCATGGCATGAAAACCTATCTAGGGAAGGAAAATGAAGATGATATTTATAGGGTTCCTGGGAATTGACCATCGATTTGAAAAGGTTCTGCAGATGTGAGTGACGGAGTTCTGACGGCTGCAGCTTAACATCACATGGAAATCAGAAGATTGTGTTCCGTTCTAGTTTAGTCAACTGATGATTCATAAACTTCAGGTGATTGTAAAACTTTTGTGGGCCAAGAAGATCTGCAAGTTCCCACCAGGCATTTGAAACCGGACGATCCATCAAATTATTCAAAACATTTTGCTACAGGGTTTGACATCTGACCAGATTATTCAAAACCAGAGGAGATTGGATAGCAAATAAAAATAGGGAAGAAACTCACCGATTTCTCTATCAAAACATGAGTTCTTGAGCATCCATATTAAGTAAGATCCCGTAACTTACATTCCATGAAAAAGCTTAAATATAGGAACCATACCTCCGTAATGAGCTTCAGCTGATGGACATAGTCTCTGCCTGGAAAGAGCGGCTCCCGGGTTGCAATCTCACCTAGAATACATCCTACCGACCAAATGTCGATGGCGGCAGTGTACTCCGAACAATTTAGGAGTAGCTCAGGAGCACGGTACCAACGAGTGACAACGTACTCAGTCATGAAGTCTGTCTCGGAGGTCGTTCTCGCCAGCCCAAAATCTCCAATCTTTAGGTCACAGTTTGCATTCAGGAACAGATTGCCTGGTTTAAGGTCTCGATGCAAAACACTGGCAGAGTGCACGTATTTCAAACCGCGTAATAGCTGATATAGAAAATACTGCACGAAGAAAAAACCCATCACAGATATGCACCAAAAGGTATAAGAATACATCATATCATGACACCGTGCAGATGAAAGGAGACGAGATGAGGAACAGGAATTAGAAAACAATTCGAAGATAATCCAGACTCTCAATTCACTGACAATGACAGATTGAAATGTAATATGGCAAGATTGTCTTCAAGCATGTGAGATCAGAATGTTCCGATCTTATGTTGGAAACATGGGATTCCCTTATCATAGAAAATCTTTTGCAAACTCCAGAGCATATGCGGCTGTCATGGTTGGGTATTCTCTACCAATTCCAAGAACCGTTCACTAAGTTGTTATAGAAAATGCTATTTTCCATCCTGCATCTTGTTTTTATCAAAACCCATAAATGTCCCACAGCATCTTACAGCCAGATGCAATAAGAAATTTCAAAAAAGTAAACGCCAAGTATCAATATAATGAGACCGGCTCAAAGCCATTCAAATATTTGGACATATCATAGACCAGCGCTGAAAACATGTTATATCCCGTTTAGTGATGATCGAGGGATGAAAGACAAATGGAGTGGGAGAAGAATGATGAGACGGGGATTAATGCCCAAGTCGTATTTTATATTAAAACGCAATCTAGGTCACAAATAGTTGATGCAAGATTGAAAAACTGGAGATCATAAGGACATCATACTTAAGTCTAGATGCACTCCAAGAAGGCAAAGATACCCTAATCACAACAGGCTTGCACTAATTCGGAATACAATAGACATCTTAAGCGAATAATATACCATCATTAACGGGCAGTCACTGATTGAAACATTATACAGACGAAAAGTTTCCTCTTTTGGCATAAGCGATCAAGGACACTAAGCCTGTGATTTGGGCTTGGAAGGTCGCTGCTCCTGTAGTATTAGTTTCTTTATCTATATGATGAAGTTATAGTATTCGGTATGCATGCCTTCAGACAGAAAAGAGGCTTTAACATATTCAGAAAAAGGAAGAGAAAATTTAGGAGTTCTTCATGCAGATAAAGGCAAACAAACAAATATATAGTTTTCTCTTATTCGACGTTTTCTTGCGTATTTGAACAAAAAAGTATAATCCTATTACCATAAAAACCTTGAATTTTTTGTGGAGAAGAACGGTGTTCAATGAAAAAAAATTAGAAATGCAATGAATGAAGCTCTGCAGAAGAGGAGAAAGCAACAGTAGATCGTTGTCAAATACAAACCAAAAGGATCATTGGGTTAGAAAAAAATCGAGAGCATACAAAACAGAAAAAGATGCAAGAGACAAAGGGAAACAGAAGATGGAGGGGAAGTAGAGCATCGCTGCAGTGGACATCAGATAAAAAGAAACCAAGACACTGAAAGTGAATTGCTGTCTACTGGCAAATTCTGATACTTTCATCAAGTTCCTGGGGCCTACTTTACTAACTGAAGGACATTTCAAGTAACCCCGCAAGTCAGAAAACTCAAAAATAACAGCAAGACAGCCATGCTCCAACGTGCCTCAAATACCGAATAAAATATAGAAAGGCGTTTAAAGAGAAAGAAATAACAAAGAAAAGTAGCAGAAGCAGCATATGATGATTGAGACTTTCTGGAAACGTTCAAATTTATTAAGGTAACTATGGCTCGAGAAAGAAAACTAGAAATTGGGTCATGCTCCTTCATCTACCGTTATCACATTTTTCCCCCTACATTCGTATAGATACATCTCACAATCTGAGAAAATGGCAGACCGCATTGGTTGACGCATATGTGGAAGTAATCCCTTTTAAAATAAAACCGATAAACATCAAGTTGTGAACGTCGCAGCCAAGAAAATTTAAAGATGAAAATAAAATAGCCACGAGCATAAATTCTAGATAATATACAGATGAAAATTTAAGGTTCCTAGAAAAATATCTGGCACAAAACCTGGCAATGTTCATCTGTCAATGGCTGATTGGAGCGTATTATCTGCTGGAGATCGGTATCCATTAACTCATAGACAATGTAAACGTCATTGAAGTTTTCTCTTCTTGGAGGGCGTATGATATCTTTGATGCCAATCACCTGTGTATTGAAGAAAAATAGGCTCATCTTTATGGCATCAGAAGATTTCAAAAATGAAACAGAAAAATCTTTCAAAATGAAAGAAGATAGGCAACACAACAGTAAACCAGCTAAGCTCATCTCTGACGAAAACAGAACATACAGATCAGAATGCAACTTGTAAAACTCACAGCTGGCTTATTAGCCAACAGAAGCTGAAAACTAGCACATAATGATTTCTGACGAGACAAAAGTCAAATGGTTCAGGTTGATTTGCAGAGGATTGATCATACATCAGCGAAAATCTCAACTGAGTTAGGCCAGCATCTAAACGAGCTGAAGCCATTCCCGAAAATGCAGACCTGCTTAGCTTTTTCCTGACAGAGGAAAACTGACTCGGTCTATCTTCAAAATGATCATAACTCAGTAACCTGAAAAGCTGAGCCAGATCTTACGAGTCTGACTAAGTCAGCAGACCCTGGTTCAATTAGTATGGAGTGGTGGCACAGTCTACAATGAAAAAAGATCTATGAGATTTCTTGCTCACTAGATGGGTTGGATTTGATCCCTCTGTCAGCCTCAGAACCTGTGACGTCTGAACGAATAGACAAACCTTATCTGACTTCAAATTTATCAGAAAATAACTTATCAGAATGAAATCACATGGTACATAAACCAAAAGAAACTCCATTCTCATCTGACATGCTCCGTTGCATACCAACTTTTAAAACCTTTGGCAGTGAGGGCAAGAAAATAAAATGTATAGCGCAATATGTATTGCCCTAATTTTCAATATTTTTTTGAGGAATAAATAATCGACAAGGTAAAAAATGGAAAGTCTGAATTCTAGGCCAAATATAAAAACAAGGCACTTTCCAATAGTTGCCCCAACTTCTGACATAAAAGCAAAAGTTAGAAGAAGCAAAGAAAAATCCTGAAATTCATCATACTTAAAAAAAAAACGAAAAGTTAATCAAAGAAATTGGCGGACTTACATTTTCATGATCCATATGGAGGAGCAGTTTTATTTCTCTCAGAGTTCTTTTAGCATCAATCCTATTATCAAATGCATTGCCAATCTTCTTAATAGCAACCTCTTCACGAGTCTCAGAATTTATAGCAGCACTACAGAAAAGAAAATTGATACATTTATCATCTGATAATGAATGAAAGTCTATTTTACAAAACATAATAAGATTATAAAGTCCTCATCAAACATGGAAAAAAATAATATTCTGCAGAACATTACTTCCAAGCATTTGGTACGCACATCATTATTGAAACCTACTGTGGCTGTGAGTTTTCAAAATAATATGAAATTAAACTGCATAAAAAAAGTCAGTATCGATCAAACTGTAGTATGACTCTTATATGGCCTGTAATTATGTTTGACTAGTACATGCAATCTAAAATCCTTTCCCGTGGAATCAACAATTGAGAAAATGTGGATATTACAAAACAAAAGGCACAAGGGAGGAAAATAAATTGGGCAGCGCCAGAAAGAACCCAGGAAATATGAAGAGAAATAAAAAGATTGAAGCCAAATACAAAAGAGACCACGAGCTTTCAGATTTGTTAGGAGTGGGACGGCCAAGTAAATCTCCACCTATATGGCATTTCGACAGAGATTTTCTCCTTTTGGAGCGCCATCTAAAAGAAGTCATTTACAGAAGATAGTTCGATGAAGTTGCAGAAAAAATACTAAATTATTACGTCCTTGCAATTATGATAGTTCATGATCCAAATGGACGCGACAGACTTGCTCATAACAACACAGAAAGTAAGGAGCTCATCATAACCGATGTTAAAAGGAGCAGGCATCTTTCGTATTTGCCAACATACGTGCAAATTCTTTTTTTAACAAATACCTGGAGGCCTTTTTGTTTCTATTTTATTTTGACATTAATGGGTGCACAAAAACATGGCATTCGTACAGTTGATATTTTGACGGTCAGGGCAAGTTTGCGAGTACAGATATTACTTCTTCTTTTTTATCCGAGCAAATTGGGAACATGATACCTTACCTAGCAGATTGGCCCCATGACACCATTACATCGAAAGGAAAAAGGAGTACAAATAGATTCAAGTCACAACACTAAGGGCCATTTACGAAATGTAAGTAATATGTTTTGTATAATGAATCTCATTGCCAGGTCTACTGTATTGTTTATTTGGTGAGTTTTCTAACATGGACCAGCTGTATTTACAGGATAAAAACTATAAAACAGAAAAAATGGCGTAAAAATATGATAAATAAGTAATAAAGATACACATCAGCCATTAATAACTGAATAATTATGTTAACAAGGTATAACCCAGAAGACTAAAATCATAGCTTTCACCATCGTGAGAATCAAATTTGTAACTGTCCTAAATTAATCAAGTCATCTCCCAGTGAAAATTTAGGAAAAGATTGTTATGTATACAGGTAAGTCCGTGTTTATCACACTTGGGAAGTATGGAAGCTTGTGCCATTCATAACAATGACTTCAACCCGCTACAAGTTTTATTCATGAACTGTCCAATCACGAGGACGGACTAACGGTAGAAAATGTGTAATTCAATGCTTTCTTCATTAGAGGAAGTATAACGTATACTACAATAAGTTGAAATGATCTTCCAAGAGCTAGCATACTTTTTGGGCCTCTCCAAGCATCTGGTTCTACATCCGGCCCTTTGATATTCCCTCATAACTGCCAAAAGGTTTCAACTAATGTCTGCCACAATGGAGAGCCTAAGCCAGATGCGACACAAAAATAAACAACTAAGAAATAAACGATACATTTCAACCCCACAAAGGCCCTAAGAAGTGATTTTTTTGCCCCAATCCCAGGCTAATCGATCCTATGAACTCCATATTTTCCTTCTATGTTTGGAACACTAAAATTAAAATAAGTTTACAACATCCAATACTCATTTCCGGACTTGAGTCATCTGTAAATGGTCATCTCCTTTCTCTTTTTCTGGAACGAGCAATGTGAATTTTTCCATTAACTGTCATAAATCGTGTTTGACTTAAACTCTGAAAGGAGCAAATTAGAATTAATTATGGGTCGCGAACAGATTTTTGCGAATGCACTCCATTTCTTCCGTTCTTCATTTGAAAAGAAAGAACAATGGGATGGCACTGGTCCAGATATTTCTAACATCATAATAAATATTATCCACCTATGTTACATTTGCTATCCTGTACTGGTTTCAAAAACATTCTTCATCTCTGAATCACAGCACAGTTTCACATGCTTTTTTCGTTTTTCATTGTCAAGTAGTTTGGCCCAGATGCACCCAAATAAGCTGCCTCCCTATATTCTAAAAGGGCGGAAACCATCATCTCAAGTCCGGATGGTTTTAGTTAATGGAGACTAAGGAAAAAGGCATGGCTTGCAAATACAACAATATCTTCTCCGAGCATGAAAATTGCCTTGCTGGTGGCCAATTTCTCCTTTTTTTCGCAGAATCTCTCCCCTACATCCACCACAAAGTTTCACACCAAATCGAAAAGTAACTTGAGATAAGAGAACTTCAAAGTCAAGATACTTGATGTTGCTACATATCAAAGGATCCGGTCCGCCCCCGGGATAAATAGCCAGACCGAGACAGAAAAAGAAGAAAGGCAATTTCTTTATGATTAAGATGATAAAGACGATATGTCCAATTCTAATATTGCGATATGTTCTATCCAATGCAATTGTGCATACCAGTTGTGACAAGTACTCGAGCAAAAAACATGCAACGTACAGTGAATAGAGAGCGAGAGCGAGAAATAATAGGTAGGTGATCTACCAGACAATGCCATATGCGCCCCTGCCGACGGGCCGGATGGGCACGTACTTGTTGGATACTTCAAACAGGTTACCGCAGATGTTATACTGGACGTATTGGCCGCCGTGGGTAGGCACCCCTTTTACATGATGGGCGACGTCCCCGGAACCCGCACCCTCCATAGCCCGGCTCTACCGGCGTCCGAGAACAGCGGCGGAAGGTAGCTCCAAGCCCCTCTCACCTCCCGATCTGAAAGGAGAGAAGGACGAGGGAAGTGGAGGCACAGTTGACACGACGACGACGACGACGACGACGACGACGACGAAGAAGAAGAAGATGAAGAACAAGAAGAAGAGATGAATGGAGAGAGGGGGAGGACTTCGGAGGGCAGATCGTCGCCCAGAGGGGGGTAGATGAGTGGGAAATGGGGAAGGAACGATTGGGGACAAAAAAAAAGTCGATCTGGGAGCGTTAAACTGACTTTCCAGAACACGTGAAAAGTGTAAGATTCAGTCCTCTTTTCTCTCTCCTCCCTTCCCTGCCCCTTTGTTTCGAAAATATATCTCCCTCTGTCTCTCTCTCTCTCTCCTCAAGCTGTCGCAAGTCGAACCGTACGGTCATGAGGTTTTAGAGAAAGTTCTGAATAAAACTGAGTATTACAAGCGTACCCTGACTAGTTTTCAATTTCAATGCGTTTGTGAACAGTGAAGAGAAGAGCGATTACGCAAATCATATCAAAGCGGGGTTAAATTTAATAAGCAAAGATATTATTAAGGGGTTTCACGAAAAGTGCGAGCCTCACCAACTACCACTATTGGGCAAGAAGCCGTCAGAAATTAACCACCCGCCTCAACTTGCACGTCGGTCAACCAACTGGCGCGCGACGACTTTTCAACGAGGGCGCCGGGGTCTGCCGGTAAATTTCACGGATAAGGGGTCTTGTGACCGGAGAATTGCCACGTGGAAGGGAAATACGGCATCCACAGCGGGCCGGTTCGGGCCGAGCCTTCGGGTTTTGTTGGCCCGATGACCCGCAAATGAGAAGCGGGAAAACCACCACCATCACCTTCCGCAACTGAGAAGCATGAAAAATCCCGTTCTTCGTGAACTCCACGGAAAGAAGAGGAAGAATGGGGAGAAAGAGAAGAAGAAGACGGCGGCAACGGTGGTGGAGGAGATGGAGGGAGCAGAAGGCGTGGAGATCAGCATCACTTCCGGCCGCGAGACTTCGACTCGAAGTGGATGGCCTTCTTCTTCTTCTTGCGCACGACGACGGCGGGGCCGCCGCCTTCCCTGAACGGCATCCCCATGAGAGCGAGCAGCCGCTGGGCCTCGTTGTCGGTCTTGGCCGTGGTGGTGATGCAGACGTCCATCCCCCTCTGCTTGCCGAGCGCCTCGTACCTGATCTCCGGGAAGACGCTCTGGTCCCGCATTCCGATGCTGTAGTTCCCGTGGCCGTCGAAGCTGTTGGGATTGATGCCCTGGAAGTCCCTAGTCCGCGGCAGCCCCAGGTTTATCAGCCGGTCGAGGAAGTAGTACATCATCTGCGGACGGAAACCAGATCTCAGATCTACTCCTGCTGAGACAGAGCGTAGAACCCGGCGGTCGGAGACTCGACGAAACATTCAGTGGATCAATGCTTCTGCAGGTTTAGTTCATTCAAATCAAAGGGAGAGCCACCAGCACCGAAATGCCGGCGGCCACAGAATTTTGAAAAGGCAAGGTGAGGTCATTCGAACTCGTTATTAGATTTGCTTGAAGATATCGTATGGTTTCTACAGGGATAATCTTCTGGAAGCAATTCACCAGATAATAGACGGATAATCGGACTTTCTTTATATATTATTCCCCCAAATATGACACTTTCTGCGCATGAATCAACTAAGAATCTGCGTTCACCGTTGACTAAGTTCCCATCATGTCAGGAAATTCGATTTATATTTTTCATCCGACTGTTCTAATGTGGCTCTCTAAGAAGGATTTTCGTTCTGTTTCTGAAACTTGACACAGAATTTCTGCACACAATGGTGTTGTTCTGACACCGTGTACTAAAACATCCAAGCGCCGATTACCATTCAAGATTGCGGCAAAACACTGGGAAGAAGTCCTTCCCAGATACCAAAAAGACTAGGATCCAAGACTGAAACACTGTTCTACGAAAAACTAACGGATCGGTGAGTTCACTTTCACGAAGTATTCAGATAACACCATCACTACATTTTTCCATGAAATCTGCTGGTCAGTCTCGTTCTGATCGTGAACCCTAATAACTTCAACCAAATTTGGAGCCCCCCACCTAGCTTACTTCAGCACCCCCCTTAGTGCGCTCCCAAACCCTAGGAAGAAAAGGGGAAGAAAACAGGGAAAACCATCTTCTTTCACAAAAATGATAGCAGACGGATGAGGGCATTACCCAAGGAAACAAGAACAAAAAATCTATTTTCAGCCTTCATCTATGACCCAGCCCAACTAATTTGGTGGTATTAGCAGCCTATTTCAACATAAGAATGCATGTGGTTCGAGAGTATCAGAAAAAAGGCAATAGATACTATTATATCCAGCTTGTTCCAGATGAAATGAAGAACATGCGATGAACCAGAGAAAATTGAAGCCCGGCAGAAGGAAGAGAGAAGCTCGGAAAAGAAGAAGAAGAAGAAAGAAAAGAGGGAGGGGGAGGTGAATGGACGAACATTGCCGCGGAGTGTGACGGCGGCGCCGACGGTGGTGCCTTCCCGGAGCTTGAAGGTGGCGATTGACTTCTTCGCACGGGTCTTGGCCGGCCGCTGCCCGGTGATGAGCGCCAGGTCTCTTATGGCGGCCTCCAACCCTTTCGAGTTCTGCTCCGCGTCCCCCATCCCGCAGTTCACCACAATCTTCTCAATCTTCGGCACCTGCAGATCCGGAAACCCTAATTGGAGCCCCCAAGATCCCATCGGAGGAGGACGACGAGGAGGGGGAGGAGCAGAAGTGAAGATCTGAACCTCGTGGATGTTGGTGTAGCCGAACTCCTCCTTGAGGATGGGAACGATCCTCTCGAGATAGGCGGTCTTGAGGCGCTGCAGCTTGTCGGCCTCCGCCTTGTCGACGAGGACCGCCGCCTTCGTCGGCGTCGACCGGACGGGCGCCGTGGGGGGCTCCGCGGTGGCCGTCGCCTTCACGACGAGCCCCGCCACCCGGGCCCTGCCCCCGGCGGCCGCCCCTGCCGCCGCAGGGAGGGACCGGATGGGCAGCTGCGCGCGGGCCGTGAGGCGATTGGGAACTATCGCCGGCAAGGTCGCGGCGGCCATGGTGAGCTTGAAGTCTCAGGCCCCGTGCGGGGGAAGTGAGGAGATAAAAGAGAGAGAGAGAGAGAAAGAGAGAGAAAGAGAGAGGAAGAGAGAGATAAGGTTGGTCTCTGCAGATAGGGAAAGTGCTCCATACTCTGTTTGTCTCTGCTTTTAGGAAGCGATTCCGCCTCTCTCATCGTCGCCTCACACAAGACAATGGCGAGAAAGCAGCCTGATTTATGGTCAACGTTCAAGAGAAAAAATAATAGGAACACTAATAATCATAGATTTTGTAGATACAATCTCAAAAAAAGGGGAACATTACCTCTCAAGGAAGGTTATTAACGACATCATTAGAGTATAATTAGTTGGTTGCACTTTGGGGTCGGTCAACGTTGGATGATTATGCGTCAGTCATGTCATCAATGATTGATTAACATCATCACTAATTGTCAACGTATATTTCTCACACAATCTAAAGAAGATTTGGTCTATGTCTATAATACTCACTTTAGACTATAAGTCAACTCTTAAGATCGGTGTGGTAGGCCCCATTGAGGAACTTATTTCCACTATTGGTCACCAAAATAACACAAACATATGAAATCTTGGCCCGCAAGAATGAGGCTGACGAGATAGGACGATCCCAAAATCATTCACTTCCTTATAAACGTAGAGAACCCACCCCTGGTCAACTCAGTTCAGGCCTTCTTTCTTCACATGAGCTTCCTCAATATTCCAAGAAGGATGCGAGCCAAACGCTGCAAGGTCTTCATAGCGTGTGCCCACATGCCAGTATAGGACAATAAGAGCGGGAGGATCAGTGGCTTGACCCAATTCTTGTAGATGCTCATCACGAGTTGACCGATGGCACTGGATTTCTTCAAGAACTCTGCCGCATGAGCAATCGTTAGAATAATCTCATTTTAAGATAGTATAATAAGTATGTAATCCTGCTTTATAAAAATATGTCTTCCTGTGAAGTATGGGTCGATGGTCAAACACACGGGCCTAATAACCTCAACTTTTATCTGAAATTCGGTATATTATAATTATTAATTCCAAGGGAAGAATTATTCTTACCCTCAGCGAGGAGAGGGAACCTGTCGAAGGTAGAGGTAATGATCTTCAACACTTCCTGAAACCATGGTCAGATGAAGGTGAGGTTCATGGAGGTCCCCATGCTTGAGTGGGGACGAAAGAGGATGAACAGGGATGCTTACCACGGTGAGACCCCCGGCCTTGAGTGGCCACTCAACGGCCACAAGAGCTTTCCTGCACCAGCCGGAGCAGGGAATGGAGGATTCAGCGGGATTGAACAGTTTGAATCCATATTTGATGGAAACCAGAGGCCTCTTTACCTAATCCGCAGGCTGCCGCCGCCGGGTTCCTGGGAGAACTCATAGATGCCGCACCCCCTGGTGAAGGGTATCCTCTCCCCTTTCCACTCTGCAAAACGGGTGAGCACGGGTGGCAATGAGAGAATAGAGAGAAAGGGAAAGTAAGGAAGAAGGAGACATGGAAGGACAAAGAAGATCTCGATTTCTCTGGTGGTCGCTACCCAGATGCCAAACTGCCGCCGCCGCCGCCGCCGCCTCCTCTGCCGTCGTTGGCTTCCCCTCGTGGATGACCTCCAGGACCAGCTTGACGTTCTCCCCCATGGCTTCCGTCAGCTTCCCGAAGAAGCCCATCACCTCCTGCACCGCCCAGTGGAGGTCTGTTTCAGCGGTGGTCGTTGCCCAGTGGGATTGCTCCGGCGAGTTACCTTCCTTCCTTGAAATGGCCTGGAGGAGATGGAGAGGTCCTCGAGGAGGCAGTCGTCAGACCAGAGCTCCCCCAGCGTCTTCATGTCCTTGCCGTTCACAGAGGAGTGAAACCCACCGAGGATATCAGCCGGCGACCCTTCCGAGGCCCCGACGCAAGAGATCCCTCTGCGTCCCTCGCGGAAACGGCGTAGTCTGACCGCCGTCCCCGGAGAAGACGGTGGCGCCGCCGGGAGGGTGAGGCGTCGGAGGTTGGTCCGCAGTAACTGTCCGCCATGAGAAAAGCTTCCGGGGCGGCGCCGGCAGGAGAACGCTGAGGAGGGGAGGACGGCGGCGGCCATGGCTAGCGGGACCGCCGAGGAGGGCTCGCCGGAGAAGGTTAAAGAGGCAGCATTGCCGCCGTAGATTGCCTCCCGATGACTCCAGGAATCGGATCGACGTTGCATGGCCGCACAGCCATCTCCCCCACCCGCTTTCTCCCTCCCTACAAACGGATATCATTTGAGTCGATTTGCACCCATCTCGTGAGTTTCAAAAACAGGCTTCGTCTGCTCGCCACCTCGGATTCTGTGGGGGCCTGGCAGGGTGGCTATAGTTTATGGGCTTGTAGGTTTATGAGGTCTATGGGAGAGGTGATACAATCTTAGGATTATGAGGATTAGTGGGAATAGTTTTATTCAGGTTCCATATGGATAAATAAAGCACGTCAGGGAAGAAAAGTTGCTCGGAGAGTGTCCGCGAGTGGGAGCCCCAGTTCTCTTGTCTTCCACCTGGGACCTACGTGGCCTGGATAAACATTAAGTGAGGGTCCCACAGTCACGGTCGTCTATGTTTACCTTTTAAGAGACCACGGAGCAAATAAGCAAATATGCAAGTTGGAGGGATCTTTTATGAATGATTGTTAGGCTTGAAATATAAATATAACTTAATTTGCAAATTTTTTTTATCAAACTCAAATTCACAAGAAAAGATTTTGGCTTGATCAAGGAAGACATTGTTGTGACTTGTGTTGAAATCATGCCAACTTAGGTTGACTTTTTGTGTCTATCTAACACATATTCTGAATTCATAAGGTTAAACAAGGAATATGTGACCTTCTTTCATAACATGAATCTTGTAGCATAATGTCAAGAACTATATAAATGTACATATTATTTATACCATGGTGATGACAATTCAAGAAATATATTATTTACATGTTAAAATTAAAGCCCAACGTTAAGGGAAATAGGGCCAAAAGTTTAAGAAATAATCATCACATATGATATCATGTGAGATTCTTGTGCCATCTAGCTCAGAATTAACTTGAATATAGCTTCTTGTATGTGTCATTATGCTAATGGCACATTTGTTCAATCCATCTCTGATATGGACCAAGTGATGAATTGCATTTAGTTTAATTATATTTAATTTATTTCAACAAAATAAAAATAAACATCAAGCTTGATAGTTTTGTAACACTCCATATTCCCTCCCATGGATCCCCTCCATGAACATCCATATTGGGAAACATACTGGGGAGGGCATGTTCTTGAGAAGTCAAGGTTCATTCAGCAGGGCATACAGGAATAGGGAACAATCTAGCAAAGTCAACCACAAGAACATAGCACATCATATTGCTGACAAGAGTTCTTCTTAACATGGAGTGCGAGTCCCAGAGCCTTGGATGGTGAGCTCAAAGAACCGACCTTCACACAATCGCACACAAGGCAAAACCCATATCCTATGTACAAGCCTGTGAACCATGAAGATCAAAAGCCCCTGTAAAAGTCAACCTGGTGGCCCACAAGGCCGCCCCCAAGCATCCTATTGACGACTGCAGTTGCCGAGGTTCCCTTGTGAGGGAGGACCTCTCTTTGTGAGCCATCAGCAATCCGAAGAGAAGAGAGAGCCTCAGCCGCGATGTGGCCGACTGAGCTCTCCGCCAATTCCTTCTTCTCGCCTTGGAACCGCGGAGACCATCGCATTCCGAGGGCATTACACCCTTCTCCCTCATACGCCTCGAAGCTCTGATAACCCATGAAGAGGTCAATGCCACCAGAGTGATTCCAGGAGCCGAACTGGCCGTTGTCCTTCAGCATGATGCGGCGGGAATCATCAGAGTCTTCCCCGAGAAGAACGTGCAGGGCTACCGCCTCGGCTATGGCTGCGCCTTCCTCATCAAGGCGCTGTTGCTCCTCCTTCTTCTTCTGCTTCTTCTTCTCAAGTTCGGACCTTATGGCTGCAGAGGCCGCCAGGGCTTTCTCGAGGCGCCGCTTCTTCCTCTCAGCCTGCTTGAGGCGGTCCAGCTCGTCCTTGGCCTGCTTCTTCTTCTTCTCCTTCCTCAGAGCAGGACCTGACCGGCCACATTGAGCCTTCTCCATGGCCAAACTCTCCTCAAGTGGACACTCAAACCCAGTAAAAATGCTTTGCCGAGGGACAATGCGGATTAACTTGAAACATTTCCCACTATATCGTGACTCATTTTCTGTGATCTATGTAATTTATCTATAATTCAAACTCCACGATCCTATGCCTACACCCACTCAGGCTTGAAGGAATATCGCATCCTGCGGATGATGCAATCCCAGAAGGAAATGACGGGGGAGAGAAGGAGAGAGAAAATGTAGGCACTAGTGGATGCATTTCTAATGGCTATTTCTCCTAACTTCTCACTGCCTACACAACTCCCCATGTTCTTCCCTGCTGCAATAAAAAGATCCAGATGCTCAAACTCCAATGCGAAAAATCAACCAAAAAGACAGCATGGCTTCCTTGCTGGCAGAAAAAGAAAAATAGAGTAAAAAAGAAATTATTAATTCCAGGGGATGTAAAACTGCTAGTCGGAGAAGATACCTAAGTGAATGCAATGCCAACATGAATCGACAGATAAAACTGACCCAAATCGCTGTTAAATCAGTAATAAAATAAATAAATACATAGCAACGAACCACTGTGCGGATCAGATGGCCTAATTTTTACCGGTCTGAAGAGCTCACAAAGAATGAATTTTTGGAATGTCTCTGGGAAAATTATGATACAATTTGAGAATGGCAGAAATACAAATGCTCCTACTCATTGTCCAAAAGGGATATTTACCCTTTAAGGATTCTCCTATGAACAAGAAAGATGCAATTTATGTCAAAACAAAATAAGCAGCAGAGGGCATGAACTGGGTGGGATCCGGTGTCACATCAAATTTTTAGTTTGTTGTATTTAACTAAGAGGATATAAGACTACGCCAGAAAAGATGGACAAGAAATCAAACTGCTAGCCAATTTGTGGGAACTCCAACTCAGAAGAAATTAAGGGAAAAAGGAATCAATGAAGCTACAGTACTTCAAATCCTGCATCTCAAGTTTAAGAGAGATGAAGTCAACTCCATGATGGATTTCAACACTCTCATTCTTCTGCCTCGTATTTGTGAATTCTTTGATCCTAGAGCCACATGATACGAGCAGTTCAATACACATAACTCATCAATGATGATAACCTGGAGAACCAACCACATTTGGTATCACATTATTTCCACGTTGGTTACAAGGTGGGTTGTCGGTAGGAAAGCATGGAAAGATCAGAAGTCAATCTTTCTCCTTCGGACCTTGCATGTATCTCAGATATTCAAAAGCAAAAAGACTCCTCTATCAATGGAATCCGGCAATAGAGGGAGCCTCGGGTCAGGAATGGCTTAACTAGGAGTCAACCACCGGAAAATAAGCATCATGCTTAATCTCAAAGAGGATATTTATTGACTGGTCGAATTAAGAATATCTTTTCTCGATATAAAATGTCAAAAATGTTAGCCCTCTATATATCTACCGTACACCTTGTCCGCTGTTACCATATGTAAGGCCCAGAGGAAATCCCCAACCAGATGCGAAAGATGCTGCATGAAAGGACATATACACCAGAGGACAAACAACGCTGCCAGGGAGCTAACCATTGAATCTCTGGAATAAAGGCTTGATGCAGCCTACTCTCCAAGATTAAAATTAACAGAGAGATGTCAACTGATACACCAAAGCGGGAGAAACAAGGAAGATACTCAATTTCTCGCGTGTATTATCACAGGCAAGTAAGATCGTCTGAGAAACCAGGGAAAAGGTTAAGTAATCAAAGTTTTGCACCAGCTCCCAAATATCATTAAGTTTTCAGAGGAAAAGAATTCGTTGATGGCGATTTCAAAACCCAATCAAGTCCAAAAGAAGAGCATGACAAAATCTTGAATCAGCCGGCGAAGAGGAAAAATGTGCAGAGATCCAACAAAGAAATCGGAACCGAGATTGTCGCTCAATCTGAATCATCAACCAAAAGCCCAGAGAAGCGAGTCCGAGAGAACGCATGCGACGGAAACTCTCTCGAAATGTGTTGAAATGAGGGCTTAGAGCCGGACCTGGACGGTGCTGAGTAAGGTGCCGTCGAGCCGATCCGGTCCCAGCAGATCCAGTTAATCAGGAAGGAGGTGCTGTTGGTCCGGGAGAACTCCCCGGCTGGTCACCTCAGCACCACCACCTTCCTGCTAACCCCGGTCCACTCAAGATCCGCCGGCGCTGCGCCCCTGCAGCCTACGCCCAACCCGGATACCAAATCGCAGGGAGGAGAGAGAGACGAACTCAGGCGAGGAGCTGGCCGATCCCTCCCTCTTCCCTCCTCTCTCTCTCTCTCTCTCTCTCTCCTCTCTCTCTCTCTCCCTCCTCTTGTGCTCGCTTTCACCGATCTCCACGATGAGCCCGTTGACATCTGGAGAGAGTCATCTCTCACCTTTGGCCGACGATTCTTTGGTCTGGGCCAACCCGGACTCATAGATCTCATAGACTTTCAGCCTCATAACTATTTTTCGGGCTTGATGCATGATCAGCACATGATTTGTTGACATCACGAACGTGGGCCCCAACTGTCTAGTTGTCACCCGTGGATTCATCGGGCATGTCGGCACCAGCTGTCCATTGCCACGTGGACCAGCCTGTCGGTATCTTCAGGACATGAGATTCTTGGCGGGGGTTAGTATTGGGCTGGGCTTGGGCCTTTTGAAGCCCAGACTGATGACTATTTTATATGGGATTTTCCTCCCTATTTGTGCCTAATATTGACCTACAGTCGTAGGCCCCACTCTATACTCAAGAGTTGACCGTATTCCAGTCAAACGTAGCAAATGTCAACTTATGCAGAAACTTGTGAGCTTAGTTCATACGAGTCAACTCTTGGTCAACCAATGGCAGACACCAAACGACTCTTGTAGATTTTTTGCACAAGTTGGTTATCTATTTGATTCAAGTCGCGAACAATAATCATCACTTAATTTTAACAGAAAGTAGCAAGCTCACATGTCTAAAGAGTTGACATGACACTCGTAGAGGTCAACTCAGGTGGTTGTTAAATGGCTATTCTTATCCAGAAAACAGATAGCTCAAAACACTGCAAATAGTGGCATTTTCTTAATGCACGAGCAAACTGACACATCTCTATGCAAATGGAAAGGACAACGGTCAGTATAAGATTCGATGGGTACCTTGTGGAGGTCAACATTGGCCCGTTGAGGCTCCTATTGACGGCCACTACAGTGGAGTCCACCTTGTCTTAGCAATGGCGAGGGACGTGGAGTCCACCTTATCTCACATAAGGGTGGGTACAAAGAATCGACGGACTATAATGCGGGCCGTGGGTCCCACAGATCGTATGAAACTCAAAGCCTATGACGTCTATGAGTCTGTGATGCGCGGGGGCGAATCGAGGGCCAAAGGGGGAAGACAATCTCTATGTCAACAACAACATCGTGGGGATCGGAGACATGAGCGCAAGGAGATTGGAGAGGGGGCAGAGAGAAGCGGAGAGGAAGAGAGAGAGAGAGAGAGAGAGAGAGAGAGAGAGAGAGAGAGAGAGAGAGAGAGAGAGAGAGAGAGAGAGAGAGAGAGAGAGAGAGAGAGAGAGAGAGAGAGAGAGAGAGAGAGAGAGAGAGAGAGGGAGGGAGAGGGAGAGCGAGAGAGAGAGGATGAGACAGTTCCTTGGCCCCGTACAAAGCACCCCGGCCATGCCAACTGCTGGCAGCGGCGAGTGAGATCACAGCTTCGAGGTACTCTGCTCCTCGTCTCAGACCGGCAATCTATTGGGGGAGCTCCCCGGTATCCGATCGGCGGCGGGCTGGGCGTAGACTGCTGGGGAGGGGCGGCGGCGGCGGCAGCGGACCTTAGGAGGACCGGAGGGGAAGAGGAAGGATGAAGGAGGTAGTTCTGCACGTGTATGACGTAACGAACAGTGGCTCCGCCAAGACCAACAACACCATCCTCCAGATTAATAGGATCTTTAAGGATCGCATCGGCCTCGGCGGGATCTTCCACAGCGCCGTCCAGGTCGGGTCGTAACCCTTTCGAATAATATTTGGACAGGGTTTCAGTTGATGCTCTCTCTCGGATTACTTTCTCAGGGTGTCCTGTTGATTAAGGGTTTTCTGTCAAAATTATCGTATTTTGGAACTGGAAATGATGCATTACTTGATTTCTCCTCTGATCTTATCTGCTTGTGACAGTACGTAGCAGGAATTGCTAATTTGTTTGGTTCCTCCTGCTTTGTTGTGTCATTTTGGTGCTTTCCTGTTGAGTACGTTCTTTTGGAGGAGGATCAAGCCTTTCTTTCAGAGGCACATTGTGTAGCTCGCTGGTTGTACGCTTATCTGTCCCCTGTGGTGTATGCTTTCCCGCAGTTTGTTCCTGATTGGTTTGGATTTTCTCCAGGACAATACAAGCTGTGGTAGTTAACAATGTGTGCCGTGGATATAAATAGAGCTTATGGTTATGGCGGGATACGTGCTAGATCGGAAGAAGAAAAATCTGTATTTGATCTTTCCTAGGGTTCATATGTACTACCCACTTAGGAACAAGTAAGTAAATAGCGTGATCCCAAATCTGGTTCCATTGGCTATCATCATTTATGAAACGCTGGCACTGAGCTGTGTATCGAGTGGAATTAGGATCAATTTGAGGGGTCAAAGAATCCACAAATTTTGGGGAAAAGTGTGTGGGCAAAACATCTTTCATTGAGTCGACCTCACTTTTCTTTAATTTAGGACGCAAGATATGAGTTATTGTCCATGAATTCCTGTTTCTTTCCTTTCTTTAAAGTATTTTTTCTGAATTGGAGTTCATTGAATGCGACAATCTCCTTCGTCTTGATTGCTCATGTATCTTTTCTGCTGAGGGTATACATCTAATGAAACAGCATTGTATATAGATCAATGATGAAAAATTAAACCATAACCTTTGCTGATTATTATGTTTGAACTCAAATAGCAAACCCTTCTGGTAAAAGGATCCCCAAGTTCAATTGCTCTTTTGGAGGTCAAGGTCATGAATGATAAGGTGGAGAAAATATAATTCTCTGTTCGTAGAGTATATCATAATTTTCTAAGAGACATTGCAAAAGTCATTCCGATCAAGCCATTCAAACCAGTGAAAACTAGACCGCTTTATGTGGACTTCTATCTTTTATTCCACTTATACTGGAGTTACATTCTATGTGAGTCAGTTTGATCTCTGTGTGTGATTCAAATCTCAAATTCAACTCGAAGTTTAGTTTTTTTTTTTTTTTGGTTGCTTTTCAAGCTCAATTTAGGTATCTGCTTTGATTAAATCTGTACTGTTAGAAATAGAGAAAAAACCTCGTCACAAAGGACAGAGGAGAGAACGGCGGAAACCACCTCAAGATTCATTCAACTGTAACCCCCATTATATCGGGAGTAATGATACACAACTTTTACCAAAACACCCTCAACTAATTACACTATTTCCCTACGACCTAGAACTTCCAACTCTCCCCCTCAAGATGAACTTTGAAAAATTCATCTTGACTAAATTGGTGATGACAAAAAATCTTGCCCTCTGAACATTCACTTGTTGGTGATGACAAAGATCTGTTGTCGCAGCAACTCTCCCTTTGATGGTAATCACAGATGACCGCCACTGAGTTTGTGGATTCGCCAACACCTTTGGCTCCTCTGATGTTGTCATGCCCCAAAGACAGCTCACCATGAATATGATAGCACCAAAAAACTGTGGCTTGATCATGATGATCACTGTCCCAGGGCTGTAGAGCCTGCCTTGGAGTCATGAGGTAGTTGACAGGGTAGCACCAAGCATGCGGAGAGTATCCCTCTCCATTCTCCATCAATCTGCCTCACACTGGGTGATTCCCTGAGTGCAGGAAGTGGTACTGAGATCACAACGTTGTGTAGATCAAACAGGTCACATGCTTCATATTCGATGTTGACAAAAGTCTCATTTCCAGAAACAGATGGCCAGCAATTTACAGTCAATGGTACAGCTGCCTCGTCCATGCCCTGGATTCTCCATTTCACAGTATTGCCTTTGATGAAGTTGTTCCTGATATTCACTCTTAAGTTTCTGTCCATTTTGAATACATTTAAGTATAAATCTATGAGCTGTAGTTGTTTTAGAGAATGACACTATTTTAATGTCAAAATCTTCTCTATCTGATCCCTGTCAACTCGTTCTCTGACGTCAAGGGACTCTGTGGTTACTCCCTGACTGCATGGTGTTTGGGTGGGCTTCCATCATACCATGGGCAGAGGCATCTTGCTTGCTGAATTTCGTCTCTAGTGCTCCACTGAGCAAATTCTTTGGGGATTGTATATTGCTTGTTGAATGCGGGTAGTACCACATACCATTTGGTAAAAGGAAGAAGTACATAACTATGCCGTATGTGAGCTCTCAGAGAACTCCCCATACATTGGTTGTGTTCTACACCCACCTGATGTAGGAGGGACTTAAATTCCAGTAAACCCAAAACGATATGATCCCCTGTTCCTCATTCTACGCAAATCTTATCCCTCTTTCATCATGTCCAAATTCCATATCAAGGCCTTAGGTGCTCCAGAAGTTCGCTTTACACCATATCTGTTTCTTTTCCATTTATTAGAGACTCACATTCGCTGGTTCCACCAACTTTATTGGAAGAATCAGCATGATTCATCATCATTGCTAGCTTGCTTTCATGTAGTGGAGTCATTTTGACATTTTTCTTGAGGGAACATACACCATACAGTCCCACATGATAGCTAAACAGCTTATTCCACACACTTGAAATGCATTCAGTTACTGGAGACAACAACTTAGATCCAATATACGTTCTGGACTTTCTGTTTAAACTCAAATTTTCAACACCCATTTTGGTTGTCGTTTTGAGAAACTACATACATTGGGCCGCCATACACGAATCAATTACTCACACGAATAAATGTGATAGTGGGTAGTAGCCGGACACTCTTCTGAGCAGACTATGGACGTTTTGCTGTCTTGTAAAATGCTGAGACCATCACTAATAAACAACACTTAGTTAACCTATGCAATCAAGACGAGTTCAGCCTGTGGAAGATCAGTCAGTGTAAGGACAGGGATATACTATCAGTGACTTAGGCTTGACAGCTCAGCAGGACCTCTTTCTCAGTGGGTAATGCTGCTGTTTGGATGTGTACAAATCCCTGTTAGATGTTCTAGTTCTTGAGCGACTCGGAAGGGACAAGCTTGGAGGGAAGGTAACTAGCGAGGGCTGTTTGGCTAGGGAAGGGGGTCTGTTATTTGTTAGCTTGAGTGTGACCAGAGATACCCCAGCTGGGACTTGGTAGTATCGATTATCAGTGTGGTACAGTGGTTGAGGGCCCCCCTATCAGTAATTGAGGGTTTTCATGTGTTGTATGGACTTTGACCATAGTTTTCCAGGCAAGACACACCATACATAGAACAACTCCCCTTCTCTAGCTTAACAGCTGTCAGTTACACGTTCTAGCTCTTGCACAACTAGAGAACTAGTGAGGGGTGTTGGACTAGGGAAGGGAGCTATTATTTGTATGGTATGTCTTGCCTGGAAAACTGTGGTTATAGACCGTACAACAGAAGACAAGCCTCAATTGCCACTACGGTGTCTCTTGAATGCTGTAGTGTAAAAAATAAAATGCTAATCAATAGATGGGGATCCTCAAACACTGTACCACATTGATAGTCGGTAGCCCCAAATCCCAGTTGGTGGATCCATGGTCACACTCAGGCCAAGATGTAAACCAAGCTATTAACCAATTTTTCTTATTCTGATTGAGATCGGAAAGCAGTAGTAGCAGAGAAGTGGTCTGTTGGCCATGTGTAAAGTTCACCTCATGAGGAAATTTCTATCCTAGGGTACATTGTAATGAGAAAACAGAGTTGTTTAAAATTTCCACATTTCTTCTAATCAATGCTTCAATTTGCGACCTTTGATTTATCAAATCTAAGAATAGTGTTGATGGTGCAGATTCATTCATTGCTAATCCTTTTAGAGCTTCTGAAATAAAAAGAGATTTCCATGTATTCGATGGTTTTCTAGTATGACTATTTTCTTTGTTGCGTTTTCAGAAAGGAGTCATTCTTTTTACGTGCGCTTTGTCTGGCAAAGCTTTGCCATTAGGAGGTGGTTCCATCACCCTCGTGAGAAAGAACATTTTCAGCTGACAATTAGCTCATTCTGTTCACTAAACGAACACTTTCAGGTGTATGGAGATGAAGAATGGTCATTTGGATTCTGTGAGGAGGGATCTGGCGTTTTTAGTTGTCCACCTGGAAAAAATCCAATGTACACATATAGGGAGTGTATTATTCTTGGAGAAACAGAGTGCTCAATATTCGAGGTAAATCGGATCTTAAGGGAACTGAGCAGGGAGTGGCTCGGAAACAGATATGACCTGCTATCTAAGAACTGCAATCACTTCTGTGATGTGTTTTGTGAAAGGCTTGGCGTGCCAAAGCTTCCAGGTACTACACATTTCTTCTTCACTGCACCTCGTTTTGCTCACAGTTGGTCTCGTCTTCTAATAGTCTGCTGCGCCTGTTTTGTCTAAGGGTTGACCTTGGAGTTATTTGACTCCATGGACTTGGAATCTGATGGCTGTGGTGCATTTATTTTGAATGTTTAATTGACCGTCTCTCTCTGTGAGAAAGAAATTTCACGAGATCTTTCTTTGAGCCTTTTATGTTTTCCTTCTCTGAGTGGAGAACAGTTGAAACTTTTCCTTTTCCTGATTCTCAGACTCTTTTCTCATAAGTCGCGGATGCGTTGAAGAGACCGAATAGCTTGGGATCATGCGAATTATCATTTCAAAGACAATTTCAATGTGTGGACTGATACTTGCCTCAGATGAAACTCGAGCATGAAGATGATCCGTGATATTTACGCTCATTTACTCTAATGTTTTCATGGTTTGAAGTTATGTCGATGGATTTATAACTAGTGATCTCTGGGGGGGTCCATATTTCTGTCTCATGGAGGGGTAATGATATATCAACTTTTACTATTTTTGTATGTGGTTTATTATTCTCTAATCGAGAGTTAAGATTGGGTCGTATGAGTGAGAAACCAATAGAACAATATATTTGTAATATTATTTTTCATTCAAATACTTGCAGCTTAAAATGAACGTACAACTTCATTCCATGCTTGCTCCTATCTTCAATAGCGTAGTTTCTCTCCTTTTGCAGCTTGGGTCAACAGGTTTGCCAACGCCGGTGATACTGCCGTGGAGATCGCAGGGACTACGGCGATGAAGGTGGGAATCTAACAAAAAATCCTTCTTTGTTTAAGAAAAATAAATAAATAGTAAAGATATATAGATAATTTGTTGGAAGTCTGATGGAAGACTGGCTTGGCGCTGCTGCTTGGGATTCACCCCTCGTCTTCCTGCGTGCTGCTGCAGCTCAGGCAGGCGAAGACGGAGATCGTCACGGCGAGCAGAGTGGCCTACAAGTTCCTCGCCGGAGTGGCCTCCAACACCCTGGCGGCGCCGGAGTCCCCCGGAAACCCCGGCCGGGGGTCCCCGAGATTTCAGGGGGCCTGGTTCAAGAACCTCATGACCGTCGGGGCCAAGCCCTCCAGCAGCAGCCCCCAGCTCCCCGGTGAGGAAGCCGCTCTCTCCCAAGAGGAGAAGCCCGACGGGCAATCGCGGCGGGGGCCAAGAGACGACCTCTGAGATGTGATGGGTGTATCGTATCGACTGCAATCTATTTCTTCGAACGAATCTGTAATTCCTTTGCTAATTGTTTATGCATCAGAGATGATAATTTGAAACATATACATCTTGCGAACACTGCCGGGTTCGGAATGAATGAATCTTCACGCCCGTTGTCCCTCCCCGTAGATGGGTTTCTGATCCGGGCGGCGGGTTGCCGTCGGCGCCGCTGCCCTGGCCAGCGCGGCGGCGATGGAGTTGAGCGCCGTGGCCGCGATCTGGGACTTGATCTGCCCGCGCCTCGGTATAGGCCCTCGTTCGCCGGAGCTCAGGAAGGTGAGGAGAGCGGAGGCCCCCTTGCTATCGCCCATCGTTCTGCTGTCGCTCGAGCCGACAAGTCTGAAAGCTGGTTCTGTATGGTTTGGGCTGACTAGCACGTCGATGGGTATTTATAGGACAGCGGGTGGAAACAGCAGCGCCCCGTTGGCGGCGGCTAGCCGTGGTTGCCATCGGCGCTACCGGCGCCGGGTCCGGCTGGGACAGCCCGCCGTCCCAGCGGCGGCACATTGGAAACCAGGTACTCCCTCTCTTTTTCTCTCTTTATTATTTTATTGTGGGAACGAATGGCGCGGATTCTGTTGGCGTCAGAGGACGTGGTTGACGCAGCTGAGTTTTGGGCCGATTACCTGTAGTTGACGGGAGAGTCAACCAGTGTCCCCTGGAACTCCTAGAAAGAGGTCCGAGGGTTTCTCTAGAAATCATCTCACGCCGCCATTCTCGGCCAACCTTGCATAGAGTCCACTCCATGACAAAGTCAGCATAACGTGGCTCCAAAACCTGGTTCAAACTTTCGTTTCTCCTGACATTGTCAACATACCACATCCAAATTTTACCATAATTCTTTTCATTTTCCCAACTTCCAGACAAAAAATATTATTTGCATTTTTAAAATGCTGGCGTTTAATTTAAAAGTGGGAATGTGTAAACTGAATCCTTTCTTTAATATTTTTCAGAAATAATCGAAACATTCAGACCACACATTTGAATGCAGTTGTGTTACTAAAAAGATAACGTCTTCAAATCATTCCAAAACTTTATAATTGAGAGAATAAAATAGATACTAAAATATTATATGCTTATGAAATTCCAAGGTTTCTCTCTCTCTCTCTCTCTCTCTCTCTCTCTCTCTCTCTATCTCCCTCCCCTCCTCCCGCCTCTCCTCCCTCCCTTCTCATTAACATACTTGGTAGACATCATAGCCATCACTTTCACGCCCCTTCATGTTTTCTTATGCTCTTTCTCTCTCTTTTTGCTTTCATGGTTTTGTGCATTGGTTCCTATTTCAAACATTCATTTGCTATATTGGGTTTTACTTGTGGAAGAGCGCTTGAGAGGTCTCAAATGTTGCTATATTTAAGATGTTTTACTTGATATCTCAGCCTTTGCTTTATTTGAGGGCCTCAACTTCACAGGGAAAGAGGAGCAAGATATCATCCTTAGCACTAGGTAAGATTTCTCTAGAATAAGGAGCATAGAAGAAGAGAGAGAAAAGACAAAGAGGAAGAAAACAATGGGTGATTATCTTCTTATTTCTTGGATAAAAGGTCATAAAGGGATAACACAAGGGTGACTACTACCATTTTGATGAACTCTTAGAGCTTTTCAAGTATTTAGGGAATGATATATAAAGTGATGTAAGCTATTGTAGTTATACAAAAAAATAAGCCATATGATGATGTGAAAAAATAAAAAATATTCCTTTATGTTACTGAACAGATCAGTGAAAGAGGCACCACTGGGACAGATCATTTGAAAGATGCAGATCATTATTTAATTATTCTTATATGATATGTTATCCAATGGATCATAGTGTGAAATGATTGAAGCTTACTTAGTTATAACTCATTAAAATTGTAAAAGTTAGTGAATAAAAATTAAAAACGTATACTGGATAAAAGTATGAATAATAAAACTTTGTACTTTTGAATTTCTAAGATTCCATCTGTGGAAATATTTCCTTTAAATTTGTTGATAATTTCTTGACTTAGTAGCTTTGACACTTAGATCCTAGTATTAACCTTTCTACATAGCTATAAAATGTGTTCCTATTAAAGACAAAGTTGTTTCAGACTTTAAAATAACCATAAACAATAGACAAATTATTGAGACATTAATGAAAAGTGTTGATACTTTTCTTAAAATAAAAGATAACAACTTAAAATTTTATAAGTTGGATTTAAAGAATATGTTCTAATGTTTTTCCATAATAAAAAAATATGTTGAGCCTTGACCCTCAATAATTTCACATACGTTAATGAATATTCAAATAATTAAAGAAAATCCACATGCTAAATAAGTACACGCACACTTCAAAGGTCAGGTTCTCCAGTAGATTAAGCCTTTGAGTCATGTATCTTGGCCATGTATGTTGTTCCATTTAGTTTATTCCACATAAACTTGTAATAAAAATGAAAAAAATTAGTGAAATTCTGCTGACATATTGAAGAACAATACGGCCTCTGACTGCATACCTTTTTACCCCTTTGCTTATGAGTTTATACTAATTGAGTACTTTAGATTCTTGAGAGGATTTAAGGAGCAGTATCTAGGAGAACTGTTGAAAAAGTGGAAAAACATTGTTGTGCATCTCTTCTCCTTCTTTTATTCCTCTTGGAAATAGCTATTGAATTATGTAAATCATGTCTAATATAAATTGAATTTCTTTTAAAATTCAGGGTCATATATAGACACACACATGTATGCATATGAATGGTAGATAAATGAATAGGCAAAGGAAAGGGGAAAGCATTACTGGGGTTAGGTGCAGAGGTGATGGTGGTTAGGAGAGAGAGGTAAGGGCAAAAAGAAAACCTAGGTCTGTTTATTCATTCCTAAAATTTGTAAAAATGTTGAAAATTTTGTTTGAAGCTACAATTGGAAGTAGTTTTAGAAATAAAATAGTGTCAAATGGAATTCGAGAAGGGCAAAAATGTTCCCTTGAAATGATAATTTTCTATCCTTGGGAGTTCTAAAAGACATGATTGAACCCTTTGCTTGATATTTTTGTTCAAATGTTAGGAAATATTTTTTGCTATAAATTTTTACAAATAATCTTCAACCTAAACAGAGTGGCAGAGTTGACACATTTATTTTTATTGGAATGTATAGATGAACGACGTTTTATATGCCAATGAAGGCAAATAAGACAATTCAAACCTGCTATTTGGGGTAGACACCTTGATTCGCACTGTAGGACAAATCTGGTTGAGCTTGGTTTATTTCGGTAATTACTTGTTGAAACTCTTGGCCTACCAAATGTTTATTACGAAATATGAGTGACATAAAATAGCTCTTGTTTTATCCTATTATATTATATTGTATTTTATTTTAGAAAATATAACCCAATTAAGGAAAGTCATAGTGGATGGTCTGTAATATAATTTAAAAAGATCTCAATGAGCACAAGAAATGTATTCAATAATTTGGGTGCTTTGAATATGTGTAACGCCTTACTTGACACTTAAGGGTGATATAATGATCTGAAACTTTTAGCTATTTGTTGCAAGAAGTTCGCCTTAAACAATTAGGAAAAAGTCCTTGATTACTTGAAAGATCATTTTTTGCAACATGCTTCTCGTAAATTTTTGGTGTCAAGAGTAGGATGTCTTATATTGGGATTTTAAAATGGTGTAGAATTTTGAGGTTGAAACTTTTACTCTTAAGGGAGCCACTACATGGGCCAAGAGAGATGGTGAATTGATCTTTTCACAATACGCATTGATTTTCAGATATCTTTTATCATGTTGGTAATTGTAGGGTTCTCTCTTTTCTGTTATAGAAAATTAATAGGAAGTTTTTCATATTAGATCATGTTGCTTATTCTAGTATTCTAAGGGCCTAAACTGCAAGTTTTACTTTTTTGTTTTCCCCAACGCAAGCGCCTCACTACCGTGACTTGGCCGAGCATTAGCAAAGTGTCATTTTTATAGCAAGGATCGATGTCTTCCAATTTCTGGCCTTTCACCGACCATCGAATGGACCAAATTCTCCAATCCAAATGGCAGAGAAGTTTCCAAACTACTAACTAATGTCCAATTGTTAAATATTAAGGTATTAGCTCTCTTCCAACTTTTGATTCTGATCCTTAAGGACGAACAAATAGCTTCATAATCATAGCTCATTACTCATTACTCATTTGCTCAATTACTTTTTGAAAAGAGAGGGTGATTACTTTCATTGGTTGTTTCTTACCTCTGGAACCAGTTTTTTTACCATTGGTGGAAACCAAGACTCTATAACATTGGATTTGGAGCTTACCTAAGTGTAAATTGGGGCGCCTATACACAGAAATTTGAGGCTTTTAATGGAGAAACTAATTTTCAGTAAATGCTTGCGATGTGAATGTTCAAGAAACGATCATCAAAATTTTTCATACCTAGGACACTAATGGTAACCTATTGATCACTTGGGGTCATTCCAACAAGGGAAAGGTGTGCATTGGTTTTCCAACTTTAATGTCTTTTCATCTTCGGATAATGATCCTAGCGTGCTTTATTATTTTTAGTCTTTTAAACATAGAGTCAACCATGAAACTAAATATATGTCAAAAATACAGAATATGAAATGTGAGAGCGTGGAGTGTACCAAGCGATGCAAGATATTTTCCCTATCCTTATAGGTTTCAGGAATCAAGGTTTCTCACATGGAAATCTTCGTCTATCGTGGTTGCTACGACGACCATAGAACGTTGTTAAGTCGAATATCTAATTCAGTCACTTTGCAAAACTTGTGTCAAGTGGGTGCTGAGGGGGACTGCAAATCGCTGTATAACATAACACACTATACCTTTAAACGTATGACGGAAGTTGACTTTCAAAAATTTATGACGTGCTTGGACAGCTTGTCACACCCCTACTCGGATAAGAAATTAGGAGTAAAATAACTCCACTTTTGTTTGATCTTATTTATGAAAAGTTCAAACCGCCCACGACCATGCTGCTTTAAACCGTGTTCACCAAGGTGCATCCGTATTTCGTGCCCCGACTACTTGAGCAGTCGTGGGTAGAATTTCGCTTCCAACTACCGAATAAAGACTGCAATTAGGGTTCTCTTCAAGGCAGGACTAGTACCCAAACTCAATGCTATCTAACCTGTGTTAAATGCTCCATTAGTCAGAGGCATTGAATTGTAGACCTGCGGAAATCCCGAGAATCATGCCTAAAGACATTTGAAGCTGTGGCTTGTTATCCTCGTCTTTTCTCCATCGTGAGTAACTTTGACTCTTGTATTGGTGAAACACTATCCAATGTTCTCGTGGATTGGCTCCGTTCATCAGACTACCGCTGCTTGGCAAGTGCAGTGATCGTACTAG